GCAGATACAGGCAGAAGTCGAGCTTCATTCAACAACCACCTCCAGTACCTAGTCATGATAACCTCGCCGCAAAGCAACCGCTCATCGTTCGAGACTCCGAGTCAAGCAACCACATGGTCAATCAATGGATGAACGGACGGCCCACCAGATTGCAGAATTTGTCGACCGACACACCGGCCCGGGGTGTACGCAGTGCGTGCCACAGACGGAGGAGGCGACCAGCCGTTGGCACTGCGATAAGCTTCGACATGGATGTGCCGTGCAAGGTTTAGATCCCATGCTGCGATAGATTTTTTTCTTTGTCTGTCTGTCTGTCTCTGCTCGCGTGGGACCAGACCAACAAGGGATCGTCCATTGATTCGGGGTCCGGGGTTGCGTTGCGTTGCTTCCTCCGGTGTTACCCTCTCCAATCTCTACAGGTACGCCTCCCACTCCTCTCAGTATTAAACAAGCCTCCATCCCCACCGTCGTTCAAGATGATCTTCTCTGTTGTCGCCGATCTGACTGTCCTCTCTCCTCAAGGGCCCGGGTCGCCTTCCTTATTCTAGGCCAAGCCTAATCGCAACCTCAACTCGAGCAGCACGTCGCGAGCTTCAACACCAACGCTCGAACTTAATCAGTCCAATTGACTCTCTCGTCGTCATGGCTGAAGCTACTCCCACCGCCGCTGCCAATGCGCCCCGTCTCAGCTCGGATCCCGCCCTCCAGGCCGAGAACCAGCACCGCCATGAGCATCACAACCACTCGCCTCGCGTCGACGCCGACGGCGGTCACCAGGATCCCGTCTACTACACCGAGGGAACCGCTGGCCATGATGCGACCGCCGTGCCTCATGAGGGCCACCTCCACAAGCATGGAGTAGACGCTGTTCCTGTTCCTTCGATGGAGAAGACTGGCCACGGAACTCCCCCAGACTACAGTGACCATGAAAAGACTGAGGCTGGTGTTGTTGCCTCGACTGGTGACGACAGCGAGCGAAGTCGCCGTGGATGCCTTGGTCTTATCCTCCGATATAAGCGACCCATCATTCACCTCTTCCTCTTCATGCTCTTCACTGGCTGGTGGATCGCGTCTCTGGTCGTCCACCGAAACGACAAGAACTGGGTCGTTCCCTTTCTCCTCTGGCTCGCCATCACTCTTCGTCTGATCTTCTTCTACGTCCCGATCCGCTACGTCTCTGGTCCCATCCGCTGGACATGGCATCACACGGCCGTTGTCATCTACGACATGATCCCGGCCAAGCTCCGTACCCCCGCCGGCGCCTTTGTCGCTATCGCCACCATCCTCGTCGGCTCGTTTGTGTCCAAGGAAGTTGCCGACAACACTCGCGAGAACAGAGCTGTCAGCTTGTTCGGCATTGCCGTTTTCCTCTTTGTTCTCTGGGTCACCAGCAAAGACCGCAGGCGCATCAACTGGCGTACTGTCATCGGTGGCATGCTTGGACAGTATATCATCGGTCTGTTTGTGCTCCGCACCGGCGTCGGTTATGACATCTTCCGTTTCATCGCCCTCCGTGCTGCCGATCTTCTCGGGTTCGCAAAGGATGGTGTCATCTTCCTCACAAACCCTGATGTTGCGGCGACCCCGGGATTCTTCTTCGGCGTCATCCCGGCCATCATCTTCTTCATCTCCCTGGTCCAGGTTCTATACTACATTGGCTTTGTCCAGTGGTTCATCATGAAGTTTGCCACCTTTGTGTTCTGGGCCCTTGGTGTCTCTGGAGCTGAGGCCGTCGTCGCTGCTGCTACACCCTTCATCGGTCAGGGAGAGTCTGCTATGCTGGTGCGTCCGTTTGTGCCTCACATGACCAAAGCCGAGATTCACCAGATCATGACTTGCGGTTTTGCCACCATCTCGGGTTCCGTTCTCGTCGGCTACACTTCGCTCGGTCTCAACGCCGAGGCCCTGGTGTCGTCTTGCATCATGTCCATCCCAGCCTCGCTCGCCATCTCCAAGATGCGATACCCCGAGACCGAGGAGACCCTGACGGCCGGCCGCGTCGTGATCCCTGAGGATGATGAGCAGAAGGCTGAAAACGCCCTTCAGGCCTTTGCCGATGGTGCCTGGTTGGGTATCAAGATTGCGGGAACCATTGTCGCGTCTCTTCTCTGCATCATTGCCCTTGTTGCCTTGATCAATGGCCTCCTCACCTGGTGGGGATACTACATCGACATCAACGACCCCAAGCTCACTCTGCAGACCATTCTGGGCTACGCCCTGTACCCCGTCTCTTTCCTGCTGGGTGTCTCTCGCGAGAAGGGTGACATCCTCAAGGTTGCCAAACTCATTGCTGAAAAGGTCATCACCGTAAGTTTCCATCCAATCTGTTTGAAGAAATTGTGACGAATAACACGCTGCCATAGAACGAGTACAATGCATTCAACGCCTTGGCCACGGACCCGTACTACAGCGACCTTACCCCTCGATCCCAGCTCATTGCCACCTATGCTCTCTGCGGATTCGGCAACATTGGCTCTCTGGGTATTCAGATTGGTATCCTCGGTCAGCTCGCGCCCTCCAGACGTGGAGACGTTTCCGCCCTGGCCTTTTCTGCGCTGTGCTCTGGTGTTCTTGCTACCCTCACGTCGGCCAGTGTCGCTGGTCTGGTCGTGACGACCCAGATTTCGGATTTCACTACCGCGACCAGCTCCTAAGGGACTGGGCCATCTTATATCATAATAGCTGTGGTTATGTCGTAGGACTGGGGATGAATGACGGCTTGTGTATATCTGATCTGTACATGTCCCATAGTACCTTGCTACATGCATTTTACGTTTGGCCGCGATAGATTGGCCTTTATTTTCGCAAACCAACATTTCCCCTCTATCCTCGCGTGATCTTGCATGTACGTACGTACATACATACAGATTAGGTCCTGTACGTAGATTTCCACTCGGACGCAACGTTGCAGACCCTGAGGATTCTTCTCCACACTCGTTCTCGTCCCATGCGAACGAAACAGGGTCCACGGCATCGTACCACCGGCTGTTGACCCAGCACAGGTCACTGAGGGGCCAGCCTTGTTACTCGAGGGAAGTGGGTTGACGATACATAATATGGAGTAACAAGCGGGGAGAGAACTACTAATCACTCCAGAGTACGTACATGAACTTCGATACATCGGCGTATATACCCATTGACACCGAACTCATGCCGACAGAGCTCCCGAGCACATGCGATGTCAGAGGTCTCCTCATATTAACCTTTCTAGTAACAGGCCCTTTGACTCCTGTGTGAAACTCCTCGGCCTTGAAGGGCCAGTAGATAGACTCGATGTTGTGTTAAGCGGCGCTTTAAGTGGTCGGGTAGATGGGGCTGCTCGCTATCCTAGTTGAATCGAAGTGGTGGTGTACCGAACTCTTCACTGCACGCAGATTGCATGGCAAGTCAAGGGCTTCGCAGAAGAAGCAGCAAGAGTACTTGAAGCGGATATCGCAGTTAAAGAACTTGCCGCCGCTACCCAACATGAAATCGTCGAGAGCCGAACCCCATTCTCCCACGACGTAGTCTGCATACACCTCAAGTAGCCGTTCTCAACGATCTCGTTGTAGCGAACCTCGGCGTTTGCCACCATATTGTGCAGCACTGGGACCATGTTGAACCACCCAGTGAGGCTTCAGCTCGTTGTTGTAGTCGAGGGCTTCAACCTCTTCGCAGCTCTTTAACGTGTATGGGCATGGGTCTAGGGACTCGCCATCTTCAGAGACGGGCTCATATCTTTGTCGTCATCTTTATCATCGTCCTTAATATCGTATTTATCATCACCGCCACCCCTACCAACGCCGTCATTGCCACCACCCCTTGAACCGTTGTCATCTGGGTCCCGATTTGAGCTGATATAGGCGTTGAGAAGCCAAACGACGAGGTGATTAGCCTTGGCATCATCGATATCAGCATCTTTAACTGGTCCCTGGGGATTTATACTAGCTGCAGCCATGCCCAAGTTATTCCACTTGCGACCCGTTCCATTGGGAATTTGTCCCATGTTGTGATACCCCTTAGCAACACCCTCTTCATACTACACAGTATAGTCATCCTTGGCATCATCCGTAAGATCCGCAAACCAGATCTTATTGCAAGGCTCGCTAACGTCCGTGGCAACGACGGCGCCTTCTTGCCGGATGCGCTCGCCGTTTCTGGGAGATATCTTTTTGTTATCCGGCTCACACTCGACCGCACCGCCGTCGTAGAGGACCGGCAAGTCATCCTAGCCGTCACCGTTGAGGTCTGCAAATCTGATCTTGTAGTCATCTTCTCCGACACCGGTGGGGATGGCGATGCCTTCTTCCCAGATTTTCTGGCTTTCGCGTATTATAGGAAGTATGCCGGTGTTGGGGTACACCTTGACCGCACCTCTGCCATACATGACGAGGTAGTCGGCTTATCTGCCTCTATTGACGTCGGCCGACTCGATGCGTGAACTAGTAGGATCCTCGTTAAAGCCTGACGATATCTCGCTGATGGTACCCCCACTGAGCTGACCCGTTGTTGGTCAATGTCACCGTCGGTATCCTCAAAGTGCACCCTTTCTCTCAACTTCAGAACGCAAGGGTAAGTACATCAACAAGAAGCAGAAGACGGCTTACTAGACGAATCTAGACCTAGCGGATCCGCAGAGCAGCGCGTACAAGAACAAGGTCAAGTACATCAATGGGTAAAATAATCTCGTGGGGACGTTGAAGGAGAAGGCCATGGCTGCCAAGATAGGGGGTATGCTTACACAGTGTTAGAAATGGACAGGTAAGCATTTGGTAAGATTTACGACTTCTTGATTGAGTCTGTTGTCGATAAGAGAATGGTACGTGAATGGTTGTGCCTTTGTGGTAGTGATGGATACGATGTCTGTTTGATGTAAAGAGGAGAGGTTTGTGTAGGTGGTTTGCCTGTTCTGCTGCAAACACTGACATAAATAACCGCACACTGTTTGCATTTACATCCTTACATAAAGATATGCGTTATTTTGGCTCCCAGTCTAACCTCTCATTCTCACCAACAACACCATGACCATCTTTCACCCCTTCCCTCGTCTCCCCCAAGAGATACGCGACTTGATCTGGGAAAAGGCCGCCAGAGTTCAAGCAGAGAAGAGCGGGGTCCACTTCTTCACCATCTTCAACAGCACAAACAAGCAAGAATCCGCCGCCGTCGCACAACAGTACAAGCTCAAGGGACCTAGCAGATCATGTCTCGCCGCGCCGAGATGTAAAGACGGGCAAGGGTTTTCGTGGACAGAGGGGAACCCGTCCATGTATCTTTTGGATCGTGGACTTTGGAAGGCATGCCGTGACTCGAGGGCTGCGATTATCAAGGTTTCGACCATGGCCATGGGCTCCGAATCGTGCATTTCGGATGATATCGCCGACATGGTCAAGCCGTATAACGAACCGCGGACAGCAAAGTTCATGTTGGACGGACACGAGCAGGAGATGATGGTCTGGCCCGAGAGAGACCTGTTTTGTCTTCAGCCTTATGACTGGAACATGGCCAAAATTTGGCTACAGCACACGGCCATTTCCTCCCGACATGGCAAGTTTCATTTCAGACACGTCGCGTTTGAACTGCCGCGCGACGAGGTAATCAACCTCTCGGTCGAAAACGAATACAACAAGGATGCCCCCGAGCCATCATCACACCTCATAGTGGAACGGATAGAGTCCCTCCTCGGTCGCGGGCGTTTCCACCATGTTAAAAAAGTCTGGTTGATAGACTACCAACTCAAGAGGACGAACCCGCGACCCGCCGCGCGACAGTTCTGCGCAAACGGGTTCAGGTTCGTCGAGGTTACGGAGCAGGATGGCGATGAGTGGACTGATCGTAGGGGGGACGGTAGGGATGCTCTTGAGTTTGCCGAGTGGCTGAGGTACTCGACCAACTACCAAAATGAGAATACTTCTCCTGAAATCGGGGTTTTGGCGTGTGAGAAATGCTAAGGGAGATGATGGGTCAAGTTCATGGGGAGCTTACAACAGCGGCCTCTCATGCTGCCGTGATGGTTACAGAGAGGAGTAGGGACATGGATGCCATTCCAAGACATCCCATAATCTGTCACGATGTAATACTCTCACAGTTGTGCCATAGCCAATGTCACAAACACATCAAACACACTCCTGTACACATGTTACTGTATTCATTAGGAATTATACTAAACCGTCATCATCATATCCACATGTATCCTCATGTATTATGCATCCCTTTTGTGTACTCCCTCTTCAACTCGGCAACTTGACCAGCCTTCTAAGCTCCCTCGAAGTCCTCCCACTAGACTCATCCTTGTCCGACGACCTGCTTCCCCTCTCCTCCTTCTCTTGTTCCTTCTTCTTCTTCTCCTCCATGTGCTTGATGGCGTCTTCCGTCAGCTCCTGTCGGTTGAGGAGCTCCCATACGTCCTTTTTTCGAGTCTTGCGGTCGCCTCTGCTGATGAGCAGACCGGCTGTGATGTTGCACGTTATGCTGACGCAGAGGATTACCGTTGTGAGCGCGAATGGTCGGGTGTGGTAGTCGATGCCCCATGTGCAGGCGCCTAGAGAGATCTGGAGACACGAGTGACAATCCAGGAGGATGACGATGGCCATGAGGTAGCTGAGAGGAAAGGCGTGATGAGTAAATGTTTCTTGGGGTTTGTAGAAACTGTGCGACTTGGCCAGCTTCTTCTGGTGATGCTGCAGTTTCTTGAGCTGAGCAATCGTCAGGGCTGGCATGTCCGATTCGGGGTCAGGAGACTTGGCATTCTCCAGATCGGCCATCTGGTCGTTATCCTTGTTGTTATCAAGGTTGTTCATGCTGCCGTCTCGTTGATCGTTCTCGGGGTCGTAGGCTTCGGCTTCCAATAGCATCCTAGCTTGGTAGCCAGTAATACGTCCATTGGTCTCATATTCAGGACTGCTCCGGATCTCTGGCGGAACCTTCTTCTTTTTTAGTTTCGACCTGGGCTTCTTGCCCTTCTCTGCTCTCCGGATCATGCCAGAGTAGCGAGCGATAAAGATCATGTGGTAGGTATCGACAGCTCGGAAGGGCGCCAGGCCATCACCCATGATGGCGAACAACGCAACAAGGACGCTGTCGATGATGTGGATGGCGTAGACTTGCTTCTCGCCTACATAGATCCAGCCGATGAGGAAGAGAACCCAAGCCAGACCGAAAAGAGTAATGAGGGTGGCGTAAAGGGTGACGAAGAAACCGAGAGGTCTCCTGACGTACTGTCCAAAACCCTTGAGACTTCGCTTGAAGCGTGCACGTCTAGAGTGCAGCATATGTCGAACATGGTCGTCCAACTCGGCCTTTTCCCCAGCACTCCATCCTTCAAGAGTTGCCCCATGGGGAAGAGCAGCGTAGTGAGACTCGGTCAAGCGAGATGTGATGGTGCTGCTGCGTTGCATGGGCGGGGGCTCTGCTACCATTTCGGCAGCTTCTGCCGCAGCTTCACGTGCTTCGCGGGCGGCTTCTTGACGTCTTTCTTTGGCGATGGCTTCCCTTGCCCAATCTTGCTCGGGTTCATGTCGAGAGAGGGCGTAGGTAGGTCGGCGGTTGACCCAGTTGCCAAGATCGGGGACGAATAGGGAGTTTTGGACGTTGGTCAGGGTAGAGAGTGTCTGAACCTCGGGGTCTGGTCGTGTTAGTCGATATCGCCATACACAATGACGTAGGTAACTCACCAATGACATCTAGCCAGTCCACCAGTTCTTGGGCGTATTCTTCCTCCTCGGCGGTTAGAGGTCGCGTAGCTTCACTCTGTTCCCCTTGCCTTCGATGTCCTGGCCAGAACATTCGGCTCATCTTCCTTGCGCGCTGCAACCTGGTCATGTCCACGTCCGGTTCTCGTGTGTGAGCTTGGTCAGGAAGCGATACGGCTGGAGACAAAGGACTCGTCGGTGCATCCATTCCTAGTTCTGCGAGACTTGGTCGGGCACCCTCCTCTGTTAGTCGAGGCATGGCTATTTGAGGCACCCGCCTCGAGTGTCGAGCAAGAACGGGAGCATCGGAAACTCTTGCTCGCTCAGGTTGTGAAATGCTTCGGGGACGGTTCGGATCGAATTCGCTCGAGAGACCGCTGTCGGAGTAGAGGGATCCATTGGAAGTCCGCCTCAGCCGGATGCTCGGAAGTCGAGCCTGATCGACGGGAGGTCGTCTCGGTGGCGGCGCGACATCGGGAAAGGCGGAAAGAGAAGTCTGCGAGGGGAATCGTGGGAAGGATGATATAGAAGTTTGTGATTGCGCCGAGGGAGCTTGGCTCAGAGGATTAAAGTAGTCGGGTGCGGACTCGTCGACGGGCGCTGGACTCCCCGGTGTGGCGGGAGGGTTGATGGATACTCGCGATGATGATGGGCTCGGTGTGCGGCGGTTGTTGTATGCCGCTGCTACCTGCAGATGGCCAGAAGGCCCAGGTTGATGATGCGAAGCCATACCCAGTAATGCATGGCAAGAAAGCAAAACACAAAGAGGAAGAGGAAGAGTGATGGCGGTGGTGATAATAAGCGTTGGTCTAGCCCGTTGTCCAAGGTCGGAAACCTGGCGCCAACGGAATTAGTCAGGTCGTCACAGCGTGAGCCGCTGGCACGCTCTAGACCTTGGGGTTGCTTGATCAGCCAAAAGAAACAGAAAATTGATTTGGTTTCGTCCAAAGTTGGTCGGCACCAAAGATGCCGGTTCACGACCGAGTGGGCCACCTACGTCACATCCGCACAGATGCCAGTCTCCCTGTGGTCGGAGTCTCGGTGTGGTAGGGGTCCCGGGCGCGACTGGAGGGTCGCCAGTGGCTGGATATTACGTCGGGATGGCCGGGACGTCCGCGGGATCCGGCTCAAGCAAGATATTTCATGATAATCATTTGACTCCCCGAGATTTTAGAAAGTCACGGAGTTACGGGATCTTGAGCACGCGAAATCACGGGATTTTCTCTCTGTTTATGTCAGCCACGTCGGAAATGGAAGCATGACGTCATTGGCTGATATCGTGATGAATGTTTTTAAACAACAAATCTAGCTCCTCCAAAAACCAAGACTACTACGTACTACCACCCTTTAAGCCAAGACAAGACAAGTTTTCAACCCGTTACATCTGATCCAACGATCTTGTGCCGGCGCGGCTGAGGCGCTTCTCCCGGGTCATTAGCGCCTCAACTGCCAGGACAACGCGGCATCTGGGGTCGTATTCCTCGCTGTGCTAGTGACACTGACCAAGAAGAGATCAAATTTACCAGGGCGCCACTTACCTCAAGGTGGTCTGTTCCAGGGCTTTGGCCACCTGGGAAACATTGAACGTCTGCCCTGTTTCATCGCTTAAGAGTGCCCTGCTTGAGGGCTGTTACCCCTTGCTGCTGTAGGTTAGGGGGCATCAAGACAGAGGAATGAATGTGTCCTGTTTTGCGGATAACAATAAACATGTACAAAAGCCTAATAGACTTTGGATACTATCTTGCCTTGGAATGTTTTATCACGGTGTTTACTTTTTCTATACATCTACCTATTACAATCATCATTTGACTTGCCGCGGTGATAATGTTTTGTTTCACGTGGAGATCTCTTGGCCACCTACCGGAGCATTTCACCCACAGGAGATTTACTAGTCACCACATGGCCGGATCATAGTTACTATAAATAGTTAATAAGAAAACATATATCTATCCATAGATTAGTGAATTTTCTGATCGCACCGTGTAGTTGACATTTCGCCTTATTTTGTTTGCTATTCCTTATCCTCGATTAGTATTGGAGCTCCTCTTCATATTGTGATGGTGTTGAGCATAGCCACAAAGAGTGTAGCACAGATTTCAGCATAATGATGGTCAGCCTCGATGCTACATAGAGTCGCAACGTAAATGGTGCCTGCGTCGATGCTTCCTGTGGGGGCGAGATCGACCTGGAGTGCCCCGGCGAGGCAGTGCTGATCTTTATTTCCAGCATCCTCGGATTGCTACCGATCGATGTGGAGATCAATGAGATGCTACCCATCAAGCTGCCGAGGATCGGATGTCTGATGTCATGTCAGGTTTTCAATAGAGTCTTGGACTTTATATCTGGACGTCTGGAACCGCCTTAGCCCGGGCCTTGCTTGTCTCCTTGGCCCATGTGGAAACAATGTTGCGCTCTTGTGAATGGTCTCGATGAAAATTTCGATAGATGAAATTCGTCAGACTTGAGCAAGTTAATGACAGAAGGCTGAGTTACCCGTCATCCTGTCAAAGTCAGTATCATCGCTCACGGCATCAATATAGCACCAAGAACTGAATAAGAGACCACGCAAGATGCACCATTTTCATTAAAGAAGAATATTAATGTACTTATTTTACAAGTATCTATCGTAACTCGTGACAATAAAATTAGTAGCAATGTAGATTAAAAAGAGGGAGCATTCCCCTTTGGTCCTGTTCCACTGGCTGTGTTCCCCATGTTTTTCAACTCTATCGAATTCTCATCGCTAAACGTGCTCAACCTCTCATGATGCACTCTCACCTCCTCCGTCTTCAACACACCGCCGTTAGTGCTGGGAGACGACCTGGATCGGCTAGTCTGCGTGCTCGTGGGGTCTTGCAGGGCTTCTTGGGACTCTTGCCAACCGGCGGCTGACATGATGACGACAGAGTTGCGGCCGTACTTGGAATGGGGGCCGTATCGTTTGGATTTCGTGTTGCTGCTCGCTACGTTGGTCGCGTTGGTTCCGTCGAGGGGGTTTGTGTGGGATCTGTTGCGGAGGTAGCTCTTTTGACTCGACTTGAGCTCGCGGTATAACATCCTCCTATTGTTTCTTTGTATTAGGTATATTTGCGATGGACATGTATAGATAGAAGTACATACAGAACGGGAATGCACACGGCCATGATGGAAGCCGCAGGTTCCGTGAGAGTCCAGATTGTGAGGTCAACACGGTCATAGGTAATATCGGTACTTGACATGCTGACCACCAGCACAGCCTTGACAATACCGCAGATTCCAGCACTATACGAGCGTTAGTCACTTGTCAGCTTCATCGTGTCTTAGGATGTCTCACATGGCTCCTAGGCTCATTGCCACGGCGACACCGAGTCTCTCGCGGCGTCTCATCGACATGCCCATGAGAATAGGCCAAGGAAGGAAAGCTAGAACAAAGTCGAGAATGGCGGAGTAATCTAGACAATGGTTAGCTGATTGAATCGTTGGCTCGTTCCTTTTTCTTCTTACAAGCTGCAAACAGCTGGTATTTGAGCAGCTTCTGTGGGTTCCAGCATGTTCCTTCTACCGTCTTGTCCCACACCCTTTCAACAGGAGTGCACTTGGCAAAGCCAAAGATCCACACGAGGTTCATAGAGATGTTGATGGTGACGATGATAAAGATGAGAAAGTACTTCATCCATTGGTTTGTAGCGATGCGATACAGCGTCACGGCAAACGACGTCTTACTCGTCGTCGTAGCTATGATGCCAAACGTCGCGACGAGAATGGTGAATAAGTTGATGGTCTTCTTGTTCTCATCGCTGATGGTCCATATGTGTCGGCCGAAGCCGAGCGATACGAGATAGGTATTGATCGACACGGCGATCGCTAGTGATGCCTGGAGAAGTATCAATCGTCAGCCAGAGATCCAGAAATTTTCGGCCCGAACGTACCCAAGACATGATCAAGAAGTGGTCGTCCCACCAAAGACCTCTACCTCGCCAGAGCTTGCAGTATATCCTCAGAAACAGCAGCAAGGCACTCGCAGCCGCCAGAGCCCAGCAAGCTGCGAGAAGCCGAGTGCCTCTCTCCTCGGCGTCAATGCCCGCCATGTTGTGTTGGTCTTGTCGAAACTCTAAAGTTGTGCACGGGTGGAAACGCAACAGACGATGGAACCCGGGAGGAAAAGGTTAAGAGGGAAATGTCGTCCGGAGGATTGGGGATGGCGACAGAGTCAGTATCCCTGAGGGGGGAAGGGGAGGGGGAAGACCCTCTCGAACCCTGGAAGGGTAATCCACCATCTTGGGTATTTATACCGTGGCACTGGGTCGGGTAGAGGTTTCTGTCAGGAACCCATGGCGTCACGGGTCAAGGGGAGACGGCCAGGAACCCGAGGATCCTCATGGATGGGTTATCGCGCCATCAACATCAGATTGGGATATGATCAGCAATGCAAAGAGAAGTTCTTAAGCCACGACCAGAAGGTGAACTTGACACGGGGGGCCAGTCCAGTTCGTGAAAGTAGTAATAACAGGCAAAGCGAGGGATGACCTGACCCTTTTGGGCTGCTAGAGCCGCCCCGTCTCTGGCCACTGAGCGGAATCGATCCGAACTTGGCCAATGGTGAAACCCTGTCTTTCAGCTTGAGACTACCGGGCCATTGTGAGCCGACCCTTGGTAATTTTTCCACAAGACGAACCATACTGGATTTGCTTCTTTTACGAATTTATCGCAAATGCCGCCGAAGTAGGGAACTTATGTGCGCTATATAACTCGGCTTACTCGGCGTTCAGGTAAGGGTTGGAATCGCGGTAGAAGAGTTGGTAGAACAACGGTGGCATGGCATGGCAGTGAAGAGCCGACATGCAGGGGCTTGCATCGCCTGTTGGTTCGCAGGTCAGGGACATCCATGCAGGGGCCAAGCCTGCATGTATTCCACTTGTGGCATGCAGAACTGTAGCCCGTGCCCAGAGCCACGTGTGCATGGGACCAGTACCACGGATGAACTGTTGCTCATCTTCGGCTGCATGTAGCCGTATGGCGGCATTCAGCATGGGATGGAAGCAAGGGACCTTGGCTGTTTGCTGCAGGTTATTGACTCGTGGCCCATGGTTATACCATATGTGAGTATCTATACTCACCGTCTGCATCCGTCGACGTCGTGCTCGGCGTCGGAGGCACCCCATCTCACTAGAAGCCAAGGGAACAGCTTCCTTGCCTGCCACGATGCTTTTCCCCTGGCTACCTCATGGGTCCATCCTGGCGTGACATGCCATTCGTGGGTTTCCGGCTATCTGGCCAAATTCGTCCCCTTGGATCAGGCAAGGATGGCAAAGTAAGAAAAAAACAAGAGAGAAGCGTCTCTTATTTCCTTTTTGTTGTGCCCTTTCTTCGGGGCTCATGTCAAATATGGCAATTCTTGGCCGCGGGGATTCGGAGGTTCAGACAAGTTCCGAGACCACCCCTCCCTGTGCTAGCTATTCTTGGGAATGATTTTCCGCTTGACAAAGACGGCGTTATACTACGGCAGAAGAAACCGGGTTTGACAGTGACAGTTGGTAAGTTGAAAGGAGAGAAGGTTTGTTGGCGGAAAAATGCCGTTTGTCTAGTCATGGTAATTCACGAAATTGCCGTCGTTTGTTCGTATCCTCCCCTTCATGACTCGAGATTACTTGCACCGCCCATCATTAACTGTGGGGAAAGCTCCGAAAGAGAATCGTCCTAGGCTGAACGATATGGATCTTGCGGATCTTGAACCTAGTCGTCGTGGTCCTCCGGTGCACGGAGCAGCCGTACGGGCGTTTTCAACAAGACGTAACGAGGTAATTTCATGCCTATCAATTGCGTCAGGGGTGGGCAAGGGACCCTTTCTTTGGGATAGATTTATAGCTGGGCTGTCGATCGCATAGACAGACTTTCTACTAGTGTCTCACCAACCCTCTCTCTCCTTCTCTTGTCAAAAAATCACATCTCGCCATCTTTAACTCCTACCGAGATGTCTTCCCACGTGGCCAAGATCCTCCTGGCAGCTCTCACGAGCTTGACTCTTTCCGAGTCGGCCGCCCTGCCTTCATCTGCCCCCACGGTTCGCCTGCCTCTGGGAACCTACCAGGGTCTGCGCAATGAGCACTATGCTCAGGATGAGTTCCTGGGTATTCCCTATGCTCAGCCCCCCGTTGGCTCTCTGCGCTTTGCCTCGCCCAAGCCAATCACCAAGCCCTTTGACAAGGTCCAGACTGCTACTGAGTATGGTCTGATGTGTATCGGATATGGCTCCGATACTCAGAGCCTGGGCAACCCTGTCTCTGAGGACTGCTTGAGCATCAACGTTGTTCGTCCCGCTGGCGTCAAGCCCGGTGACAACCTCCCCGTTGGTGTTTGGGTCCATGGTGGTGTAAGTTATTCATTTAATCAATTGATTTAACTGTTGCTAACCTTGCATAGAGCTATGTCAACGGAGGTTCTCGTGACCCCCGTTACAACCTCAGCTACATTGTTGAGCAGTCCGTCAAGGAGAACAAGCCCATCATCGCTGCCTCCATCAACTACCGTGTCTCGTTCTGGGGCTTCATGTTTAGCAACGAGATGGAGGAAGCCGGTGCCGGCAACCTCGGCCTCAAGGACCAACGTCTTGCCCTTGAGTGGCTTCAGGACAACATCGGCGCCTTTGGTGGCAGCCCCGACAAGGTCACCATCTGGGGAGAGTCTGCCGGTGCTCGATCCCTAGGAATGCAGCTCGTCGCCTACGACGGAAACTACAAGAACCTGTTCCGCAGCGCTATCCTCGAGAGCGGCAGCCCTGTTGCCAAGTTTGCTGATGCCGATACCTGGCAGCCTTACTTTGACGCTCTTGTCAAGAAGACTGGTTGCACCAACGAGACTGCCCGTCTTGAGTGCCTTCGTGAGCTTCCCTGGCAAACTCTTAACGACATCTTCAACGGCACCAACCCTCTTGGTGTCACCGCGCCTACTTTCAGCGCTGTCGTTGACGGTGACTTCATGACCACCCAGGGCTCCAAGCTCCTGAAGGAGGGCAAGTTTGCTCACGTTCCTGTCCTTATCGGTAACAACTTTGACGAGGGTACCGCCTACGTCAAGCAGGGCATCAACACCGATGACCAGTGGGAGGCCTGGCTCACCAGCCTGGGCATGAGCGCCACCCAGATTGCCAGCCTCTCTGCTCTGTACCCCGATGACCCTGCTGTTGGAATTCCTTCTTCCCAGGTTGGCCGTCCTGCTGCCTCTCCCTGGGGTCTCCAGTACAAGCGAGCTGCTGCCTTTGCCGGTGACTACCAGCAGCACAGCGGCCGCAGACTTCTCGTCGAGTCTTACGCCGCCGCCAACCTCCCCGTGTACTCTTACCTCTGGAACGTCTACGTCAACGGCCTCGGCCCCATCTACGGAGCCACTCACTTCCAGGAGGTCGCTTTCGTCTTCAACAACATCCACGGTGTCGGCTACGCCACCAACCCCTTCGAGGGCAAGCCCGAGACCTTTGTCGAGCTGGCCGACCTCATGAGCAAGATGTGGGTTTCCTTCATCCACTGCACCGACCCCAACGTCAGCGGCGGCAACAGCACCCTTGCCTGGCCCAAGTACACTGTCAACAAGCCTGACAACTATGTGTTTGACGTTAACCACACTGCTCTGGCTTATGTTGAGAAGGATGATTACAGAGAGGCTCCCATTGATTATCTCCTGCAGAGCGTGTTTGCTTAAGTGCGGGATTAGACAATACTTAATAGACTAGAATAGATTAATCATTTCAACCATGTCGTCGCTCCCGAGTACTAAAGTGAATTTCTCGTGAGTGACTTAAAAGATAACGATGGCAATGAATGCTCATGGTTGTTACTCTTGAATAGTGAAGAAGCAGGTTGGCATATAGACAGAGGGGACTTAGGTACTCTATGCTCATGTCGGCTACTGGCTGCTTAGTTCCCGGCTTTACGACTGGCAGCTAGGTTTACCTTGGATAGATCCTATAAGGGAATTTAGGCTACTGTATTGACTTAACATATTCGGACTGGACGGTGGGTTTGAGTACCCTTGCTAAAGCTCACTTATTGGCCATAGACTGTAGTCAAAGACCTTAACTGTGGGAAGATTATGGGATAGCCAATCGGGCATTGCAGAAGAGAGGCTAGTAGGGATGCTTCCAGTCCGAATGTATTGAGTTGATACGGTAATTAAAATGTCGTCTATCCGTAATATTATGGTCTAATATTATGGCGTGGTTTGCAAGAGTCAATGCGTCTTTACGCGGAAAGACAGGCTTCAGGGGTAAGTGAAGCGATATCTTGATGACAAACATGATTTGGAATCTTAGTCTAGACATCAAATCTCTACGTATAGAAATACGACAATGGGGAAATTCGAACGAGTGTCTTTGGCCTTTTTCAGCGGTTCCAGTCACGCTGGGTAATTCAAAGTCGCCGGCTCTTTTCAACTCTGCCCACGATTAGCATCACAGATGTAGCACTTCGCCCTTTGTATCTCTGATTACACTTGCTGGCTTTCCCTTTATCTTGCAGTATTTTTGTTGGGCACTCGTGTTTGGCTTTAGAAATCTTGGAATCTGCAAGCATCGTGGGTATTCCTCATTGATTCTTTCTATCTTGCCATCTTGGTAGAATGGTGACTTCTCCCCGATTGTTATGCAGGGATGAAAAGTTGAGGAATTAATTTGAAACCATTATGATTCTTGAATATTAACTGGAACTGCTCAGTGATGCCTTTTGACATACAGGACTTTGCTCAGGTCCAAACCCATCTCCCTCCCTAAGAGATCCCTATCCTCTAACCGACGCAGCTACCTTGTCATACGCCTGCTTCAGCAAATCAATCATAATATCCATCTCCTCTTCAGTAATAGTCAGTGGAGGCGAAATGATAATATGATCTCCCACATATCCATCAGCAGTCCCAGTACCTGGATACACAGCCAACCCAAGCTTAAAGGCCATCTCTTGAACCTGAACTCCGAAGCGCAACTTGCTGTCAAATGGCTTCTTGGTCTTTTTATCCTCGACAAATTCTATACCCCAGAACAACCCCCGGCCTCGAATGTTGCCGACGTAGTTGAGAGGACCAAAAACCTCCACGACAGTCTTGTGCAGTCGAGATCCTAGCTCAGCACACCGGGAAACCAAGTTCTCTTCCTTGACGATCTTTTGAACAGCTAGAGCTGCAGCACAACTCAGAGGGTGAGCTTGATATGTATGACCATGGTTGAAACTCGCAGTGCCCTTCTTGAGAGTCTCGACGATGTGTCGATGAACCAGTGTAGCAGCGATAGGAGCGTATCCTCCACCCAGACCTTTGCCGATGGTGACAAGATCAGGACGAACGTCACCGTCTTGTTCAAAGGCAAAGAAGGTCCCTGTTCTTCCGCTTCCACACATGATTTCATCAAGAATCAAGAGTATGCCGTACTTGTCGCACACTTTTCGAACTCCTTCAAAGTAACCTGCTGGGGGCGTGATGCAGCCAGCTGTTGCTCCTCCGACAGTTTCGGCGATGAATGCGATAATCTTGTAAGGACCGACTTCTTGGAAATGGTTGTCGAGTTCGGTGATCAGTCTGTTTGCGTATTCATCTTCCGTCTCATCGTCTCTCTGTCCGCGATACCCATACGCGGGGCTCACGTAGCTCACATTGTCAAGCAGAAGTGCTCCTTCATAAGGCGCTTTTCTGGCCAGGTTACTGCCCACGCTCATAGCCCCGATGGTGTTGCCATGATAAGCCTGTCTTCTCGAGACAAATCGTGTCCTCTGGGGTTGTCCATTTTCAACATGATACTGCCTTGCGAGCTTCATCGCCGAGTCCATAGCCTCACTTCCAGAACCGATAAGATAAGCCCTCGTTAGATCAAAAGGGTTACCTTCCAGGAGGGAGTTGGCCAGGTTCTCGGAACTGTCCGTGGTGTAGGTCATCGTGTGCACGTACGACACCTTGTCAGCTTGCTCGACGATGGCATCACGAACTTCAGTGCGTCCATGGCCGATGATGGCGACTGCGGCGCCTGCGCAGCCATCGAGGATTCGGCGGCCAGATGATAGCGTGAGATAGACGCCTGATGCGGAGACGACGGATTCAGGCGCGTGAAGAAGCGAGCGGTGCATGAGATGCGGCTCTGGAGTTGGTTGATCGGTAGAAGCCATCTTGAATAACTGGTATCTCGGATTGCGATTAATGTGTAGTGTTGATGGTAGCGTTGTATGAGCTGATTACAAGGTATTTAAGTTGTGTGTGGTTGGTTGACGGTTTCGAGAGTTGCTTTCAGCTGAAGTGAAGAGTGGTTGAATCATCGGGTTTGCAGCCGGTCAAACCCGAAATCGGGTTACCAGGCTTGCCGATAAAGGAACCCGAAATTTCCAACTGATAAGATGCAGATATACAATAACGGTGTGCTTATGAAAATTTGATTGAATTATTCATGATAGTGCCTAGTCCACATTCGTATCTCCAATGTTGTCAATACTCGTCGACAACAGGTGAGGATCGTCGTAGAAAGACAGAAGCCTCCACCAATCCTCGCCGAGAAAGTCGTTGCCGTGTGCCAAGTCATCTTGAAAAGCAATACCTCCCCCAGCGTTTTCTTCCTCTCCTGCCTCGTTCACCGTCGTCTGCTGCGTTGGCCTCTCGCTTGGGGGGTTGACCGAGGATGACCCCAGGCTGCTACTATCAAACGTCTGTCGAGGCATTCCTTTGAGCGGTGCCAGGTGGATCGACTCTTCAAGCTCGGGATAATCGTATCTAGATCGCTTGACGGTTCTCCCGTGACCCTCCATGGTTACCCGGTGAAATAGACTCTTGGCCGTGTTTAGCACGTCAATCCACTCATCAGCAAGCTTCCATATCTGCCCAATCCTGACCAAATACGCCATAGTCCTCTCCGCTTGTTGCTCAGCATTCTTAGTCTGATCCTCCGTGAACCCCATAAACTTTGGAAAGGAGGCGGCATAGAGGCTCCACAGCGTAGAGGAAAAGGCGCATAAGCCTGAGAAAGGTGTACGGAGGGAGCATCCAACATGTTCGAGATCGCCTAGCAAGTTTGACATTTGTGTGGCAGCGTCATATAGCTCGGTAAGGTTCTGTGACCAGAATGCTTCTGGTCCTGGGGCTTTGAGGAGCGGTGGCTCTATAGGACCTCGTGGTTTTACTTCGTCGACGGGGCAGAAGGGGATGTACTCGCGGCAGAGAAAGAGAAAGCTGAGTAAACAATAGTTAGCGCTGGCCTGATTCAGGATCGAGTTGAGCTCACCTGACGTAGTAGATGAGGTTGATGTAACCGAGCCTCTCTGCCTGCCCTCGCTGAGCATGCATAGACACCTTGGTTCCGGGATATCTGATGAGAGCATCTTGGGACTCTCGCCATTTCATCAAATCCTGCTTCATCTGATGCCACTTGGAGGTCTCGTTCCAGGGACACTCGGCTGGTTCCGTCATCCCAGGCTGTCTTCTGCCGCCCTCTGCTATCCACGTGTGCACCCTTGACCAAATGCGCAAACCTTGGATGAGAAGGACGAGGTAGTCGTCGGGTCCATAGATTCGTGAGTCAGCTTGTCCAGGGCTCAGTGTAGGTACTGGGGTTGCTTGGGCTCCAAATAAGAACTGCGCATCGTTGATGGGTAGGGAAAAGTGCAAGTCTTGGTCAGGAAACATGGGCTGTCGTCTCTTGCCGCAGCTTAGCAACTTGTCCATCTTGAAGCAAGTCCATAGAGTTCTCTTCTCGATCTCCGACAGCGTCTCGCCTTTGCTGCATCCTGCGAAGCCAGTACTCAGAAGCCCCTGAGCCATTCTGGTGGCGATGCCCGAGTGCATCCAGGCATTGAATCCATCTCCGTCGCCCCAGTTGCAAAGAGAAAGAATGAGAAATGTTTGGATAAGGGCCAAGCTGGGGCCATTGGTCATCCTCTTTTGTGCCTCATTCGTTATATAGGACACATTCGGATCGTCGATCGAGTCATCGTCCATGTACCGACGCGAGACGACCAAGATGACCAAAAGCCGTAGCTTCTGCAAGACGCCAAGTTCCTCCTCATGGTACTCAAGGTCACCAGGATGTATGAACCCAAATTCAGGAAACTGTGCTCGAAAGACCGTAATAGCCTTTATGAGGCGATCCCGGGGGACGTGACTAAATACCTGGCCGATATCCCGGCTTGGCTCCCCTGTCGGACTGCCCAGGCTAAGACGGCGTCTCTTTGCTGATCGGGGTCTGGAATCAGACGACGGCTTTTGACCTAGGATAGGCCCACTCAGAGCACAAGTTCGGACATGACCACTTTTTGCACAGCCGGCGCAAGGGGGCTGGCCGTCGTGTCTGCACTTGACCTTGGATCTTCTGTAGGGTGAATCTTGGTTAACCCCTGTCGGGAAATTGATGGCGGGGAGATGATCAATTACCTGCACCTATATGAGACAGTTAGACTCTGTGTAAGAATTCATGAATTAAGCTTATTTACCTTTCACAAGCTATTGTTGTCCTCATGTTGCTCCTGTCTTCACTATTATCGGCTGATGTGTCTTCAAACGTGGGGTTTCGGCAACATGATCGGACAAGAAGCTGACACGGAATCCCCGTTAAACCCGAATCGGGTTTGAATTTTACGGCTTCGGGTTCGGATGCACGTGCTCCAACACGTGCCATGCGCTCAATACGAGATGAAAGCGCGCAATGGAGCATCTCTGACTGGACGGAAGAAATTCGATAATGCGAGCCGCATTCCGTTGGTCGATTCGTCCGTTCGTAAAACTTGCTAGTCTCAATAGTTCAACGGCTGACCCATGCCCGCCAAGGCCCGTCTCAGGTTGCACGCCCTAACAAAAAAAGAAAAAGAAGGACGATTAAAGGACTGTTTCAAGGAGAAGCCTCGGCGCATCCACTGGAGCGCTTGGTGACACCATGAAAACACCTAAAACATGGCTTGGGCCTATCGGCAGTTTTTCGACAGTTTCATGATGCGGGCATGGGTTGTTTTTTGTCATGAGAGTAAGCTTATTCTTTTATTTTGTTGGGTTGGGTGGTTTGGTGTGAATAGCCTCCATCTCTGGCGCCCTCTAGAGCCTCACGTCTAACCTCTAACTAACGCGACACTTGAACATAAGTGCACACGGGTAATTATCAACACCTCCGACTATCGAAAGACCAATTCTAGAAAACTCCATCCTCAAAACCCCACAGCTTCTCGCCTTTCTCCTGACCCTGCCTGAGAGACATGCAATCCCAGCGCCGTGGCCCTCGCTACCCCTGATCAGCAGGTTCCATCCCGTCTCCGCAGCCTCTTTATCCCGCCAATCGAGCCCTGGCATCAATCCCAAAACGGGACGATGCCCGTTTCCCAGGCTGTTCAGCTCGCTGCTATATATTTCGTCCCGTCCTCGCTCTGCCCTACAATGTAAGAGACTTATTCGGTAGACGTTCTTTTTTACTTTGCTCTCGTTTTTCTTCGACTGTATCCATTCGTTAAACATCCATCACAATCCATTCTTTTATTCCACTTATTTTGCATCATGCGTTTCTCTGCTGCTAGCATTGTGGCCCTCGCTGCGTCGACCGCAGCCCAGGGCACCACCCCCAAGTCCGATCTTGACGCTTCCGTTTGGCAGGGCCTCAGCAGCGTCAAGGAGACTCGATCCTGGCAGGACCTCCCCCGCAACCGTCCCGCCAAGCGCCAGTCCGGATGGAACCCTCCCTCGAACCTCGCCACTCCCCTCAAGGAGGTCTGGGATCACTGCCTCAAGACCTACTCGGATGCCCTGGGCTTCAAGAACTACGGCTGGGATCAGCTCATCGCTGGCAAGGGCAAGCTGAACATGTGCGTTCGATGGGAGTCTGACCAGCCCGTCACTGCTGCCTACCGTGAGGAGATTGCCACCACTCTCCAGACTCAGTACAACAAGTGGTTCAAGTGGCTCTACGGCTACGACAACTTCCCCTACACCGACATCAAGGTCAACGTTGTTGGATGGGCTGTCAAGGACAAGAGCCTCCTCCAGGGTTCCACTTCTGGCATCGACGTCTACACTGACGTCGACTCTGAGGGTATTCCTCAGTGCTCTGAGAAGTGCGGCCGCTTCTTCCACCAGGATGGCAACTACAACCAGTGCCCCGGTGGTGCCGACCGACACTACGACCAGTCTCTCTGGCTGACCAAGGGTATGGCCGGTGGTGCTGGTGGTGACTGGGGTCAGCGACTTGGCCCTGAGGGTGTTGGCCATATTCTCCTGCACGAGATGGGCCACACCTTTGCCCTTGACGACTGTGAGTGATGTTTCCTAAGTAACGTGAGCAACTAGCTAACTTGTACAGTCTATGACTGGACCCCTACTGGTATCACCAACTTCGTCATGCTTGCTGGTTCTTCCACCACCATCACCGACTTTGATGGCTGGATGCTCCGCAACTGGTGGTACGAGCTTTCCCGCGAGCGCGGCTGGCAGTCGGGTGTCTCTTCCGGCTCTAGCTCCGGCAGCTCTTCTCCCTCCGCTGCTGCCTCCAAGCCCGCCACCACCGCCGCCGCGTCCAAGCCCACCTCCACCAAGGCCGCCGTTACCAAGCCTACCACGACCACGACTAAGGCCGCCGCCGCCAAGCCCACTACAACCAAGGCCTCGGCTCCCGCTGCTCCTACTGCCCAGACTGGCGCTACCGCTGCTGCCTACGCTCAGTGCGGCGGCAGCTCTTTCACTGGCCCTACCACTTGCGTTTCCGGCTTCAAGTGTGTCAAGTCCAACGAGTGGTACTCCCAGTGCGTCTCCGCTTAAACGTTGACGGCCTATTGAAGTTGTATGATGAGAGGAGTTTGTGGAGCATGGCGAGTGGCTTTGTAGCATGACGAGGAGTTTTGTAGAGCGTTGATGCAGGTGGTTTACGTGTACATATTTATCAAGTCTCGATATAAACAAGCGGCCCTAGCGGCCGTTAATACATACACACTGTTGATGAGAAATAGCCATGTTTACGTGAAAGTCAATGGTAATATGCCCTCTAATATTGATGATACTCATCTACCTGGTTGATGAGATGAGTAATATGAGGTGTGCCAGGGCGGTCTATTCACGCGGCAAGGGAAGATGCTGACCCAGCAATAATACAATCATTATAAGACTCTTAGGTCATTTCAAGGGTGGCAATGATAAGATGCTTGTCTAAGAATGTTAAGTATCTGACTGGAAAGATTGCAGCAGTTTTAGACGTTTAAGCTCAATTTAGCCACTTTAAGCTTATTTTAGGGCATAAGCTCTATTTTCACCTTGAAGCACACGCTTCGACATACCCGAGCCTCAATGTGATGAGCAATTATTAATTGATTCTTGCCCGAGAACCTGATCAATCGAGCGACGAGGGTCTTGTACCGCCAGTGCCGAGTATCACAGGGGTTCTAGCTGTGTCGGCCGATCCACGGTAGGCCCGGACCCATGAGAGAAGAGAAAACTGCGAGGCTCAACGCCATCTTCAAATGCAACGTCAGAGATTCGCCCAGAAACGACAAGGCGGAGACACTGGCCACATCTCCGAGCCCGAATAAGCATCAGTCACCGCAGCTGCGGTCTTGGCTTCACCAAACTCAAGGATGGACTGTGAAAGCAAGAATAGATGATTGGTCGCTTTGATGGCCAGAGTCTGCATTGATCCACTGATGTAGCGACGTGAGAAGGATTGAGCAAGATATCATGGGTCCAGCATCAACCGGGATTACTGCCAAGACTTTTGTGCCGCGAACGAATGGACCCTTAAGAGAACCTCAAGAGCGCGCAAAGTCAGCATTGCAGTATTCGTTTTTGATTCTTTCTTATTCATTACGACTCGTTAACAGAAGCTACGCAGCTATGGCTCTCAAGCTGTGCCTGCTGCTTGGCTGGCATACCGGTCTAGCACTGTCCGATGGCACCGGCATGATTGGATGGGGAAAGACCATGTACCATCCTGCCTGTGCCTTTGCATGCCGCGGTGTCGTTAAAGGCTGTCCTTTGAACTGTACCCCGAAAGAGGATGATGCAGCGATCCATGGCTCAGGACACTCAACCACCACCACGCCGCCAGAATGTTACACCAGCGATCCTGCGTTTCTCAAGACGATGGCACTCTGCATCAACACTTATTGCCCGGGAAGTGACGCGCCTGAGCTTGCCTTGATTGAAGACTACTGGCGCGGTCACTTGGCTTCCGGTACTGTCGGCACCAAGGAGTGGAAGCCCGTCATGTCCTATCAGAACGCTCTCGAAGGAGCTAAAAAGGACGAGGAAGAAGCTTCAGGGAAAATGAGTAATGAGACGAGCAGCCACGACAATCATTCAAGAAAGATCAAGGCCAGACAGCATGGAGGACATGGCGGGCAGACAGAGGAGACAACGGAATCTGAACCGGATACTTCGTTGCCCATCGCCGTATCAGGGGAGCCCCTGAATGTCACGAGCTTTGTCTTGCAGGCAAACTGGCAGAAGCAGTACAACGGCATGACCTCATTTGAAACCAATGAAATTGGTCACGTAACATATACGTAAGTCGGCTCCGAACCCATCATTGAATGTCTCTAATAGTATACTAGTATCACCGTCATGCTTGTTGCCATCTTCCTACCAGTCGTTCTGTCACTATTCCGTCTCGTTCCAGCTCTGAGTAGGAGCATCTCCTGGACTTGGCTCAACTCGGTTCTCAACCATCCCCCAGCTTGGGGTACATCCCACCGCTCACCCGTCGCGCCTCACCTGGGAGGAGGCCTTGTTCCAACCCGTGGCCAGCTGCTGTTCATTCTCCTCATCAGCCTGCTCAACTTTGTCTTTCTCATTGCACCATATTACAACATCCAGCCCCAAAGTTCTTTTGCCAGCCTACGCGAGCAGGAAATCAGCACTATCGGTAACCGAGCTGGTGTCATGGCCATGGGAAACATGGTTGCTCTCTTGATCTTTTCATCTCGAAATAGTATTCTTCTGCAACTGACCGACTGGAGTTACGGGACGTATCTCCTGCTTCATCGCTGGCTTGGATACTGGACTATTCTGCACATTGTTCTTCACTCGATTATGCTGTTGGTGTACTACAAGCTCTTTGGAGACTACGAAGCCGAGCTTGTTCAAGATTATTGGATTTGGGGTGTTGTTGCTACGATTGCTGCTGTCATCATCTGGCCAACTTCTCTGCTTGTCGTTCGACAAAAGGCATATGAAGTGTTCCTGGCTACCCACCAGCTCATGGTCCTGATTTTCCTCATCGGATACTACTACCACATCTGGTACCGATATGACTTCAACTGGGGCTATGAGATTTGGATGTATATCGGTTCTGGTATCTGGGCCTTGGAGCGTCTTGCTCGGGTGGTTCGAATGGCTGGACGAGGTTTGAAGACTGCCGTCGTCTCGACTGTCGATGACTCAGATGGAGAATATCTAAAGATCACCATCGACGATGTATCAGTTCATGGTGTTGCCTATCTCTGCTTTCCGACTTTGAGCTGGAGGTTCTGGGAGACTCATCCTTTCTCCGTTGCTTCTTCACTGTCCTTTGCGGAGCCTGCTTCAGGAAGTGAAAGCAACATTGGAAAAGAAAAGGACGACAAGGAAGACGCTGCACCACAATCAGCAGCAATTTCCCAAGAGAAGGCCGGCCCTGTCTCTAGGGCGACGTTCTATGTGAGGACGCGCTCAGGCATGACTGGAAAGCTCCACCAAAAAGTTGCATCGGCTGGAGGTCTCCTTCGTCTACGAGTTCTTATCGAGGGCTCATATCATTCCAGCCCCATTAATAAGCTGTCCCACTGCTCCGACCTCGTCTGTTTCGCCGGTGGAGTCGGAATCACCACCATGTTGCCACTTCTCCACGAGAACGGAACCAGATCCGCACGCGTGTACTGGGGTTTGAGGAATGATTCGCTTCAAAAGGAGCTCAGCCAAGAAATGTCCGGTTTCCCACCAACAGTTAGTGTTACCACTAGTGTGGGAAAGCGCATGGACATTGCGGAAATTCTTCAAAGCGAGCTAACGGCTAGTGGTGGACGAAGGGATCCCATCGGTATCCTCGTCTCAGGGCCACCAGGCATGGCGGATGATGTTCGGGTTGCTGCTTCGAGTCTTGGACGATCTGGTGGTTTGAGGAGAGGTTTTGTTCTCATAGATGAAGGATTTAGTTGGTAGCTTTATCACACGCTTGGTTACTGGTGGAAAGCTATTTTGCCACTTCAAGTGCCGACACCAGAGCCGATATTCCAACCCAGAGGCTAAGGCTGAGCTTGGGACTTGGCGGTGGAGTAATTGAAGAGAAGAGATGTTATAATAAGATTGTTCAGAAAAGTAATAGTTAGACCGACTCTGACTCAACCAAAGCCATGTCCTAGCCGATCAAGCCCGTAGATTCCGTCCTAAGCTTCCTGTGCACTTGTCCTGTTGCCACGATATTCCAGTGTCTCGAGTCCAGCCTTTTCAGAGAACTTGACATCCTCCTGGCGGATAACCTTGACATCACCAAAGATCTCGTCAATCTCCTCGAGAGACTTGCCTCGGGTTTCGGGATATGCGAATGCGAAGACGACGGCGCAGAGAGCGTTGGTCAAAACGAACAGAATCTAGAGGTTTGGTCAGCGTACACATCAGGGAAGTGTTTTGCTTCGTTACTCACGTAGTACTTCCAGCCCACCTCGGCCAGGGCGATGGGCGAGCATTGAGTAATGATCAAGCTGATCGAGTAGTGAACAACCTGGACAATGGCGTTTGCCTTGGCACGAAGCTCAGTAGTGAAAACCTCGGGACTGTGTAATGATTAGAAAGAGTCTCATGCAGACTGTTTCTGTACTCACGGAATAATCCAGGTCATGGGTCCAAGCAGGGCCGAGTAGTTGGCCGAAACGGCAAAGATGCAGGCAATCAGACCCCTCTGAGCTGCAGCGTTGGTAGGCAGACCAGGACGAGCAGGATACAAAGCCGCAAGAATCGTAATGATCATGTAGCAAAGGGACAACAGCGAAGAGCTGATGACCAGAATCTTTCTGCGGCCAATCTTGTCGACAAAGAATAGCGACAGGAAGCAGGCCACGGGGGCAACTGAACCGTACAGACCACTGACGAGAAGCTGACGGTCCTGGTCGAACTGGAGGGTAGCGTAGATGGCAGTCTGGTAGTACTGCACAAACGAGATACCAGACAACATGGCAGCAGCCCAGACGAAAGAGCCGACAAAGAGACGTTTCCTGAAAGCAGAGGTCTTGATGAGATCGGCCCAAGAAAGCTTGCCCTGTGCCTGAAGCTCCTCCGCAATGTTGACCTGAATAACGGTAAACTCAGTACGGCACCACTCGTCGTTCGTACCGTCGTAGTGGTAGTTGCGGAATGCCTTTTCAGCCTCCTCGTAGCGGCCCTTCAAGCAAAGCCAGCGGGGGGACTCGCTGAGGAAGAGAACTCCGACACCGAGGAGAAGAGCTGGGATACTCTGGATGGCAAAGCCGAGACGCCATTGGTTGGGGTTGTGCCATTTGCCTTCACCGACGCCAGTCCAGAGGGCGACGAAAAAGCCCCAGGCGACCACTGAGAGAGGTTAGTCTTGATAGCTACTCAGGGACGGGGAACTTACTCATTTGGTTGACTGCGGTAATCTTGGCTCGCTCATTGGTCTGGGGAGAGTTAGGAAGAGGTCTTTCAAAGAAAGGGGTCACCGTGCCTTGGCAATCTCAGCGCCGAAAACAGGGGCAACTCCGGTGATGGTTCCAACAGCAAAGCCGATCAAAAGACGGCCCATGATAACTAAACCCCAGTTAGAAAAATGATTCAGTGCGTTTTTCTGGCCACTTACGCATGGCAACATGAGCTGCACCAGCCATCAGGGCACCGCCAATCACACCCCAAATGCAGCCAAAAGCAATGGCCTTGCGTCGACCCAGTCTATCACTGGTGACGCCAACAGACGCACTACCCAGCCATGCTAAAATCAGGAGTCAGTATTTGACCACATATTGTACATGGGAAACACATACCTCCTGCCTGGTAGACAGAGACAATGGCACCACGGAGAGCGGCATGAGGGTTCCCAAAGTAAGTCAAAAAGGAGTTGAGAGCCAGACTCGGCGTGATGATTCCAGAATCGCTATGAAGCATGAGTCGATCAATGCCTGATGTAACACTGGTAAGGATGACTTACAAGCCATAGAGGAAACCTCCTATTCCAAGAAAGATGGCCGTCAAGAACGGCTTGCTAAGCCAAGCGTCACTCCTCATTGTGAGAGTAAAAAGTTGAAAAAGTAAAGGATGAAGTGTAATACTGAGAAAATCTCTGCTCCTGAATACTTCGTCAAAAAGGAGTCAAACTCGTCTCTATTTGAACTTTCAGGGTATAATTACCCGGGAACAAGGATCCGAACCTGTCATCAGACTACAGCGTGGGGTCTCCGCACTTCTCCTCCCCCCATGGAGTTTAGATTGCGGGGTTTGCGGAGCCTGGGGAGCTAGCAGCCACCTCGCTTCCATTCAAAAGGGTCAGCTTCTCGTTGAAAGCGTCTGCTTGGCTCTCTTCTCCAAGCGGGGGTGGCTGCCAAGGTCGGCAATTGGACATGGCAGTTGAGATTTGTGTCGAAAAAATCGTTTACCTCGGTCAGGTCACGGCTTTGAATAAGAGCCTCTGGGTTATCCTTGACATTCCTGACTCGAATCTTTGTCTGTGCTCTGCAGTCGGTCAGTCGATATCATCAGTTTTTAAACATGGTCGTCAAGATACTCGTCTACGCGGCTGTTGCTGTCGCTTTTGCGTACCTCGCCCTCGTCTTTCCTAGGGTAAGTTTGTCTCGACCAATCCGCATTCCCTGATTACCACGCGACTGACAATCTCCAACAACAGCTCAAGCAAGAGTGGAAGCTCTATTCCCACCGTTCACAGCTTCCACCAGGCCCAAAAGTCATCAGGACGGGCATTCGGAAGCCATGGCTTTGGTTTCAAGAGCTCAGCCAGCAATATGGAGATGTTGTCTATCTCCAGCTGGGACCTACCCCAACTATTGTTCTTGGCTCTGCGCAGGCGGCATGGGATCTTCTTGAGAAGAAGGGTGCCATCTTTTCTTCCCGTCCGCGATTCATCATGGGCGGAGAGCTGCTTTCAGGCGGTATGAGGGGTCTCATGGCTCCTTATGCAGGCTACTGGAGACGCTGGCGCAAGCTTCTGCACAGCGGTTTCATGCAGCGACAGAGCGAGACCTATCGACCTGTCCAGAGCCTCGAGTCCAAGGTCTTGATGCATGATCTTTTGAGATCGCCTGAAGATTTTCGAACGCACCTGGAGCGATACGCTGCATCTGTCATTGTCACCGTTACTTATGGTAGGCGTGTTGAAGATGTCAGGACTGACATTGTCGTCCGTCGCAACGCAGAGTCGATGGAGCGTCTAACAATGGTCAAGTATGTCATCCCAACCTCCCTTGTTTAGCAAAAGTTGACCATCTGGTAGCATCCCCGGAAAGTTTGCCGTGGAGAGATACCCAGCCCTCAAGTACGTGCCCAGCTTCCTGGCACCCTGGAAGGCTGAGGTTCTCCAGCAGCGAGAGAAGGACATTCGCATGTACACTGAGCTCATGGATGAGGTTCGCGACAAGGTTGCTCAGGGTGTTGCACCAACCTGCTTCGCTAAGCACCTTCTTGAAGAGCAGGCCAACCTTGGCATGTCGGACTTGGAGATTTCTTACACGGCAGGCTCACCTTTTGGCGCTGGAGTCGAGACAGTAAGTGCACCTTCAAATCACTTAGATCTATGATCACTAACCGAACTCAACAGTCGGCGGGCTCTTTGGCTAGCTTCCTTCTTGCATGTGCCAAGTTTGGCCCCCAGTTTATCCCAAGAGCCCAAGAAGAACTCGACAGAGTTGTTGGGAATGATCGCCTACCCACGTTTGATGACCTCCCCAAGCTAGAGTATATCAGAGCCATTGCTTCTGAAACCTTGCGATGGCGGCCAGTCGCTGTACTTGGTGGCACTCCCCACGCCAGCACCGCGGACCATGTGTACAAGGGCATGTTTATCCCCAAGGGCAGCACCATCATCGCACCTCTCTGGACTCGTAAGTCTCTCGTATCAGTTCTCTTGTGCATTTTATAATCGTGTCTAGTCCATCTCAACGAGGCCGACTTCCCTGAACCCCACGAGTTCAAGCCTGAGCGCTTCATGGAGGAGCGCAACTATCCTGGTACCTTTGGTCACAGCGCCTTCGGTTGGGGGCGTCGTATCTGCCCTGGCATGCACCTTGGCTCTGCGTCGGTGGCAATCAACATTGCTCGTATCCTCTGGGCGTTTGAGGTGAACCCTGCCAAGGATGAGAAGGGAAGAGATGTTGATGTTGATATGTAAGTCTCCCCTTTCCCGTGTGACTTTCTTATACTAATGCATTCCAGTTTCGCGTACTCTGAAGGTTTCAACTCGGTTCCCTTGCCCTTCCCCTGCTCTATCACACCGCGCTCGTCGAGCCATGCTGAGGTCATTGGACAAGAGTATCAAGATGCTTTGGAGCAGTTGACGGCATACACAGCGACCACAAGCAAGATTTCCTGATCAGAAAAGGAACCAAAGGATCGAATTGTTTGGACAGGTTTGGCTGGCTCTCATTTTAGAACCTTACTCTCACCATAATTCTGTAGACTTGCAATTCTCATCTTGAAGATGCCTCAATTACACGTCTAGCAAACACGTGAGACCTGACAGTGGAGATGGCTCAAGTGGGTTTCGGTGTGTTAATGAGGCCATTCCCAATCCGACCCACGTCCGAGAAATACAGGGGTCGAAAGGAACAATAGCCATCGCTTTGACATGCCTATTACGTAGCAATTGAGATTGACATTATCTCGATGACCCCATAATCCTCATATTCAGCCTCGATCGCGGAATTATCGCCTTTCGCACCCTACACCGTTAGAGTTGGTTGGTCAGCGACGCTTGGAGTCAGGCGAGCAGTACGTGCACAGCCGGCTGTGCAAATAAGACCACGTGATCGGCGCACAGCCGGCTGTGCAAATAAGATCTGATATGTAAGAAGCAACGTGGCCTTATTGCAAGACCATCACACACCGCCAATTGAAGCCTCCAAATGACTGATTGATATATTCTCTGGTCCCAATTCGACTTCTCGTGCCTTTATTACTATACAATGGACCCAATTGAAGCTTCTCGGCTCTGGCCTGACGATGTGCTCCCCCCGGAAAATGAGTATACCTCGCGGGAGCAACTGGTCACCGCCATCAACGCCTGGGCAGCACTACGAGGCTATGCATTCGGCGTAAAGAGCTCCTGGAAGACTCCTAGTGGGAGGATTGGAGTCATCTATAGCTGTGACCGTGGCACAGGGCGTGCCCCTTCTGATTCCTCGAAGGTACGGCAGCGGAAGTCCTCGAGTCGCCGGACAGGATGCCTCTTCTCTATCACAGCGAAGGAAAGCCTATGTGGGACTATATGGACATTGAAGCATCGTCCTGACGCCAAATTCGCCGAGCACAACCACGAGCCAAGCTCCAATGCAGTGGCACATCCCGTACATCGTCAGTTATCACGCCAAGACGAATCCACAGTCCAGCGGCTCGCCAGAGCCAATGTTGCCCCGAGGGAGATTAGATCCTATCTAAGCGTGGCATCAGATACAGCTGCCACACAGCAGGATATCTATAACTGCATTGCACGGGGCAAGCGAGACCTCGCTAGAGGACAAAGCAATATACATGCTCTCGCTGAACAGCTGGAAAGCGAGGGCTTCTGGAGCAAGATTCGCCTTGACGATGACGGCCGAGTTACGGCAGTCTTCTTTGCGCACCCAAAGTCACTGGGGTACCTCAAATCATATCCTGAAGTGCTTATCTTGGACTGTACGTACAAGACCAATAAGTATAAGATGCCCCTACTTGACATTGTTGGCGTTGATGCCTGTCAACGGTCCTTCTGCATTGCCTTTGTCTTCCTCAGCGGCGAGGAAGAAGATGACTTCATCTGGGCTCTTACTCATCTGCGGTATCTGTATGATCTTCACGGTATATCCCTTCCAACCGTGATACTCACAGATCGCTGTCTGGCATGTATGAATGCTCTTTCCTCGCCATCTTGCTTCCCGCTGTCACCCTCGCTGCTATGCCTATGGCATATCAATAAGGCCGTCTTGACTTATTGTATGCCTGCCTTTACTCGAGATAAAGATAAGCCCGAGGGTGATAAAGAGTGGAAGGAGTTTTATGACTCATGGCATAATATCGTCGCCTCAACGAGTGAGGATATCTTTAACGAGAGGCTAGAGAAGTTCAAGAAGAAATACCTTCCTGAGTATCTCAGAGAGGTGGGCTATATCCAGCAGACCTGGCTGGACCTCTATAAGGAGAGGTTTATCAAGGCCTGGGTTCATCAACACCTCCACTTCGACCAATCTGTCACATCCCGGGCTGAGGGTATCCATCAACTCGTTAAGGGCCACCTGAAGAACTCTCGAGCTGATCTATTCGAGGCCTGGAGGATCATCAAGCTCGTCATAGTCAACCAGGTTGCCGAGCTCGAGGCATGCCAGGCCATACAGCAGACCAACATACCCGTTGCTTTATCCAAGGCATTATATGGCAATATTCGTGGGTGGATCTCACGTGAAGCCCTATGGAAGGTTGAATATCAGCGGCAACGACTACTGAAGGAGCTTCCTGTATGCACACATGTATTCAGCACAAGTCTTGGTCTTCCATGTGCTCATGCACTTCAACGTCTATTGGCATCAGAGCAGCCCCTTCAGCTACAGCATTTCCACTCACACTGGCGCCTCCAACGCTCAGGGACCCCCCTGCTGCTTATTGAACCTCATAAGCAGTTTGATCATCTAGCAGCTAAATCTACACTGCCACCGTCAAGCACACAGCGTGAGCCTTCCGCCTTTGAAGCTATCGAGAATGCAGTACGTCAAAAGGCACCGCCAACGTGCTCGAAGTGCCATATCAAGGGTCATAGGATGGGCTCCAAAGCATGCCTCTTGCGCTACGACGACCTATTGCCAGCCCCAACTCAACCTTCCACGACAATGCATACAGTGACACATATATCCTCTCGCTCTGTCACCCGCTCATTATCGCCTGGGTCCCCATCAGGAGCCTCTGTTGTCTCTGAGACTATTACAACCACACATACAACCACACATACAACGATCCGGGTTATATCCCCCCCGGCAGTGGTGCCACCAGCTGTTGCGGAAGCCCCGGTGCTACGAGCTGGTGATCCCCGTGCTATTTATCAACGATATACGGACTCACGGGCGGCCTGGTATGATATGTTGCCCCGGGGAGTCCCAAGGACCAACCAATCATATAGGAAGGCTATGGGGCTGCCAATGCGCTACAGCAAAGCGGAATATGAGTGGTGCCTTGACTATAAGCAGATGGGGAGACACTGCAAGGCGGGAAGAAGTATTAGAGATTGGACTAAGGAGGAGCAGATGAGTTATCTTGACTGGGATAAGGCTGAGAGTGAGCGTGTTGAGCGTAACGTAGCGAAAGAGATGGCACAACAGCCTTTCTCAGGGCGGCGAGGTATGCAGGGAATATGGAATGCCGCTGAGGAAGATCTTGAAGTACAGGAGGGATTCTATCAGACTAGGAACCCCCCCCATTAACATTTGAAGGAGCAATGTAGTATATGATTTATATATATCAATAGAAGGACAAAGAAATTACCAATCTCCGAGTATACTTACAGTGGCTCAATGGCTCAATTTAACAGAGTAATCATTAAGTGTATACGTAGCATAAAGTAGACTTGGTTATCACGCATATTCAATATAGTAACAATGCCATAAGGCAGGCTTTTGAACTATCTACTGTGTGCCCTGCCAAGCCCACGTCACATAGCCACTCTGGTCAATACTCCGGATATAGAGCCCTGTCCGCTCTGCCTCCCGGATAGTGGGCACATACCTTGTCATCCCCGTGGCAGGCGTTGGCCATAGGGTCCCGTTGACTGTGTACCGAGGGGGGCCGCGAAGCTCTAGATCCAAGCCCTCAAGCGTGCCGCGAGTCCACCGTGGGGTTATATCAGGGTGAGGGCGGTGATACTGTGTATTAAGGGCATGGTCGAGCCATGCAACGTGCCAATTTCCCGTAACCAACCATCCCCACGGCATCGTATGAACAGCAACCGGCTCACCTCGAGGAGGGTAGCCAGTGAGATGGGCTCTATCCCTGGCCCCGGGATTCATATCGAAATAGACTGTGGCCGATCTCTCATCTGTGGGCAAGGTATGCTGCGCATACCACTGCTGGACCGCGAAGGGGGGCAAATCATCAGGGCCAAAACGCTGTGGTGCCTGGATTTGCTGGTTGTTCGGAATGGGGGCCAGTACCCATTGATTGCTAGGTGCCCTCGTCGCTGGGGTTACAGTGCTGTCAACGAAGATCGGGATATCAGGGGGGTTCTGACGCTGGCTCTGACGACGATTGAACATCTTGAATATGGTGTTGTATATGAGAATAGAGAGCATCTTTCAACAAAGAAGTCCTGGCCTTATATATCTCATACGTTGAGTCGATTCACTTACATCGTCGTTGTCACTTTGGTATGCTTCACGGCCTCGGGGGGCCTTATCCGCTACGCATGACCAACGACAATGGATGACATATGATTCATTGAATAGCTATACTCCTACTGAATCACTCACGATGTTCAATTGCATGCATCACGGCTGCTTCATTGTATGAAGAAGATATCTCTCACTTACACACTTTGGCGGGCTTACATATCAGATCTTATTTGCACAGCCGGCTGTGCGCCGATCACGTGGTCTTATTTGCACAGCCGGCTGTGCACGTACTGCTCGCCTTGGAGTCATAGGGTGTAATTGACGACTCCACATTCGCGCTCGTGACTCTTACTAGACCCCCCCCTACAGCGTCCGGAATTAACTTCCTCCCAATGAAACAATTCAAGAACCATCATGCCGACGAATACAGATGATGCTGTTGAAAAGACCATTTTTGATCCAAGTCTAATGAATGACGACGCTTACTTTGGATATTCCGCCTTTGACGACTTTAACCTGCATCATTTGCTTCCGGATACAAAGGACGAAAGCTGGGTCTCTCGTTTCGAGGCTCAGCTGATTGACTCTTCAGGTCAACAATCGCCTCTTACGAACACGCACAGCTTCTCTGGGACCGACTCTGGCACTGGAACTCCAGCTCTTGAGCAGCTTGACAATACACCAGATGCGCCGCAACTTCCTGTCGCTTCAATCGGCAATGCTCCTCCTCCGAAGATCGGCGCCCGGTTCTCACGGGAAGCTGTCCGCGTGCTGAGACAATGGGTTTCAACACACAGCAACCACCCATTTCCGAATGATCACGAGAAGGAGATCCTACAGAATCGGACTGGCTTGTCAAAGACGCAGATATTAAACTGGCTGGCCAATGCTCGGCGTCGTGGCAAGATCCATGCTCGTCATCCCGGTTCGCCACACTCGCCCAGTTCCACACAAGCGATAGACATTCCCGGAAGGAAGCCCACTCCTGCCCCAGGAGAGAGGAATAGATGGATGGATCCGCTGGCAAGATGGGTTGACTCACCTCCTGAGAGTGAGCCTGCGACTGCGACTGCTATTGCACGCGCCGTGGCATCATGCGGTATGTCGTCTTTCCCCCAGAACATAGGGCTTGGCAGTCTTGGAGGATGACTGAGAATGGCATCTAACTATTGACAGGCTCAGATGATCTATCCCGCACACACTACCAAACAGGCGATGGCCACTGGCTCTCCAGAGCTTCGTCAACCAGCAGCATCGGAACATCACAGTCGAGCGACAACTCAGCATACTCGCAACACTCTCGCGACTCTACAACTTCCTTCAGGTCGTCGATTCGCTCTTCACGCCGCCGCAGACACAACGCCGCCAACAAACGAGCCGACAAGAGAACCTCACTAGCCAAATCTCTGAACACGTATCAGTGCACCTTTTGCACCGAGACGTTTACGACGAAGCATACTTGGCAGCGCCATGAAAAGTCCCTTCATCTACCGATAGAGAGATGGGCATGCGCTCCTAATGGCCCTCGAATCATGGATGACAATGGGGTGCCACGCTGTGCTTTTTGTTCCCATCCCTCACCAGACGATGCACATTTCCAAGACCACAACTATTCGACCTGTAGCATCCGTCCACTCCAAGATCGATCGTTTAACCGCAAGGATCACCTGACGCAACATTTGCGACTTGTTCACAATGTCAAACCTGAGCAGTTGGGGTGTCCGTTGAACCAATGGAAGCTGCCAATGCCGGGAATACGATCTGTTTGTGGCTTTTGCGGCCTCAAGATGGATACGTGGGAGTTTAGGGCAGATCACCTGGCAGATCATTTCAAGATGGGAAGCACAATGGCTGACTGGAAGGGAGATTGGGGCTTTGATGCCTCGGTCTTGTTCCGGGTTGAGCATGCAATCCCACCATGTAAGCCGTCTTATGATCTTCATACTTTCCCAAATACTCATCCTCTTTAGATTTCATCGGCATTGACCGCAACACCATGTGTCCCTTTGAGGCCAGCAAGGGCCCCTCTGAGACGCCGAGAGATGCTTACGAGTTGATCAGCCTAGAGCTGGCAAACTTCGTGCACGTCTATAGCGACAAGTTTGGAGGTCTCCCTACGTATGACAAGATGCAACTCGAAGCTTGTCGCATATTGCTTTCTGCAGAGGTCATATCTGACAAGGAGGATTCTAACGCCTCTTGGCTTCGAGACCTGATTATTTCGGCTGATGATATCCTCCAGGAGGCCAAAACGAGACCTGTGAGGTCCATCCTGGAGGGGAAACTTCGAAGACTGAAGATTTCTGGAAAGGACAACTTGTTTGATCTGTGTCCTATGGAGAGTCAGCTATACGATTTCATACATACTGGGCCGTCTCATTCTTTTACCGATGTCGATTTACAGCAGGAAGCGTCTCGTCTCATTCAACAAGCCGGCATTGAATCCGATTCATCCTCCGAATATGTGGCGTCGTTTTTCATCCATTTGATCAATTCATCAGCTGCTTGGCTTACACCTTTTCGAGAACGCCACAACATCAGCTGCACACGGAATAGTTCAGACCTACGTTCAGGTAGTTTGTCTAGAATCAACTCGATCCTTTACAATTACAGTGAACTTGAAAGGACGTTGGCTGATTACATCGAGCTACTCCGGGCTCATGGCATTGTCCCCGATGATGCCGCTCTACGCCAAAAAGCGAACGATATCATTGACGAGATGGATGATGAGGAGTGGAAGTCGGTTGCTTTGAACAACGAGGCTTGGTTGGCGAAATTCAAGAGCCGGCACATGACAGACCCCAACACTCAACCGAACGATTTCACGTCGGGATGCCTACATTATTCTGATGACACGCACGGCTCTCAGCAAAACATCAACTCTGATGGTGCAAACACCTGGATGAAGACGAGCTTTTTGCTCAATGGCGACTGTTACTATCGTTGGATTGCAAGAGAACTCGCCCGCTGGGTCGCCATGACCATGTCACCCAACAACCCGAACCAGCATGTCCCCACAGACGAGGAGATACAGCACCACGCCAGGTGGATATTGTATAACGAGTAGGTCTACTGTAAATAACTTGAGCGAAAACTGCTAATTACTTCTAACAGCGGTGATCCCTGGAACCAGACCGTCGCTGAGAACCCGGCCTGGCTGCGGCAGTTCAAGATTGATGTTGGCATCCTAAAGCCAGAACAAGAGGATTTTGCAAGTCATGATAACTTGGAATTTTAGTGACGAACTAGGAAGGCGAATTCGCTAAAACTTGGGATAATGGAATTAGTAATGTCTATAAAGAACAAGTATTAATAGACTTTAGTAGTAAAATCAATGCATTAGTAAGAAGGAAATGTTTAAAGAAGAGTGAAATCAAATCAAAAAGGGAGGCTACTGGAAAACGAGTCTTAAACTTGGAGGGATTCTTTCAAGATAGGCGAGAGTGAAGTGAGAGCCCTATCGACTGCTGTCACCTGTGGCTAAGGGTGACCTCTGGTCTATTGCCAGGGATTTCTACCAGGCAATGGTCACCTAACATAAAAATAGAAAGGGCAATACACCATTGAACAAACAACCTAGTTCTTTCAGGCTTGAATGAAATTACCCGAAAGAGCCTGCAAACTCGTGAAGGTTATGAGGGAGAGTGGTCTTTGTCGTTGGTATTGGTTGTTGGGCTTAGTGACGACTCCAAAAGAGGCTGTCAGCCACAAGGAACCTTGGCTAGACTTCCCTTGTCCGAGTTCAAAGATAGCACGGACATTACGTATAATGAAGCTCCTCTTTGAAGAGAAATTAGAAACAGCTAGGATCAAAGAAAGCGGCCATTAACACGCGACGGATGAAACCTCAATACCGCGTAACCTATTAACTGTTCTTGATAGTAGCTTGCGATACGGAGGCAAAGCCAAGCGTTGCCTGAAGGCCACTGGTAAGGGGTTGTTTTCGACCGTGGGGGTGACCTTGGTGTGCCTTTGGACTTTGATTGTTTTCCTGCTTGAGTTGCCTGTCCTAATTGTGCAAGGTTTGTTTAACCTACTGGTACTAGGACTTTACTTTATGGTTACGTAGTACGGAGATACTTAGCGAGTCGTGTACTGCAGGCAGTAGAAAGGCTACAAAAGAGGTCACTGTATTAGCATTAGGATATAATGCTATCATGTATAGATATTGTGTTTTTTTGTTGTAGTGGAAGACCGGGCGTTGGGGATCACTAAGTCGATAGAGAGAGATGCTTGAAAGATATAGAATGAAATGTAAAAAAAAAAACAAGCTTTGATAGCCGATGACCGTTTTGGACATTTTCAACTTGAGAAATGACTTTGAGGTCCTGGCATCGCTTTTTTCCTTACTGCATTAAGGTGTCTTGTTCAGAGGAGCAGTCCCCAGGAACACCATATTTCCATTTAACCCTTGCCATAGCTGCCCTCCTTTGACCCTTTTAGACAACAGCCAAAAATACGGCAAAAAGACATACAACACCGGGGATTCGCTGGTCGTCACCGACCCAACTACTAATCCAGCGCTTCGTAGCTTGACTCTGGGGGAGCGGACGGGACCCCGTATTTTCTACGAGCTATGGTCGTATGTGCTGGGCCTCTTGGAGGAGTGGTGCCAAGAAGGAAGCTGTACCGAACAGAATTTCATTCTCAAGGAAATATCGGTAGCTTTGTCGATTAGACCCAAGATATTCGAGTCATATCTCCCTTGTGCTTACAGCCAAATGGTTGCCGGATATCGGCTCTGACTCACGAGGCTTAATAATGGATGCAAGATAATGCAACCAACATGATATCCCTCATCCTCTCCTCTTTCTTCTTTCTCTTCTCCAAGATGTCTCATAATTACTAGGAAAATGGACTTGCCTTTCATAACTCTCGATGTCTTTACAAAGACGCCATTCCGGGGCAACCCGCTGGCCGTCGTGACCATTCCACCACCAAGTCAGCAGCCTCCCCTCACGCAGGCCCAGAAGCAAGCCATCGCCCGAGAGTTTAATCTCTCAGAGACAGTCTTTGTTCACGATGTCGATGCTTCCTCGCCGTCATCGGAGAGAACCATCAATATCTTTACTCCTGATCGTGAACTGCCCTTTGCCGGTCACCCGACTATCGGCACCGCGGTTTTCCTCAGATCTCAGGGCGTAGAGACTCTTATCGCCAAAGCGGGGAAAATCGAATGTCAATTTGGACAGGATGGCTCGGCGCGTGCTGCTATCCCTCACAACGTCAGACTTCACCAGCAACGGCTCACTCGAGCCGAGTACACCGGTTCAGATGAGAAACTCGCACAGGTTGCCGCAGCTGAGGAAGGCGCTCGACTTTTCAGCATCGTCAAGGGCATGACATTTGCTCTTCTTCAGCTACCATCGTTGGAGCTTCTCGGGGCTGCCAGAATCGGAGCCATGGGATATCTATCCGGCGATCTGCAAGACGAAGGATGGCGCACAGACTTTGACTCGAGGCGGTACTACTTTGTACTTACTGGCCACGAAACGGCACCTGATGGAAAGACGTTTGTGCAAAAGGTCAGGACGAGACTCGTGAAGCGCGCAATGGAAGATCCGGCCACGGGTAGTGCAGCTTGTGCCCTGTCTTCCTATCTAGCCTTGCATGTCTTGTCTGCCGACTCGGTCAGGGTTGAGATCACCCAGGGCGTTGAGATGGGTCGGGAGAGTCTCATCGTGGTGGATGTTGAGGTGCAGGTGCTGTCTTCGGGAGAGCGTGAGGTAAAGACGGTTCACCTCAGTGGAACTGCAGTCGAGGTCATGAGCGGAGTCATCAAGGCCAAGCCGATCAATTCGGACTAGATGCAGAGAATCGTGGACGCAATGCGAGCAATGGCATTCAAGACTCGTTTTCTTCCGTGGAATGTCGCCGATTTTCAAGATGAGATCGTGTTCAGATGAGTTTAAGACTAGGCAAATAGGATTGCTTCTATCTTAATCAGTGGAAATATATCTGAGCAGTTGGCTGAAACTTGCACAAGATCGGGCCTCAACGAATTTTATCGACGCAGAGTGCATCTCGTAACCGTGCCGATCGCTGTCTCAGCTGTCGGGAGAACCCGAGAGACGGTAAATTGCGATCGTCTTTGGGTTGAGACAGTGCATGCGTGACGCGTTAATTTTCTCCGGTGTGGACTTGGTCAATTGAAGATTGAAAGTGAGATCACCAGATCCTGGCATATCGTTTGCGACTGCAGTCTCTGGGGAAACGGCAACGAGGCATTGGCCAAAAGCAAGTGTAATAACAACTCTCACAAGATAACATATCCGGAACCCACGGCTTAGAATCTATTATTTCGGCTCATGTTTTGAAGCCGATGATTCAACGTTCTCGACCACGTGCGATAACTCGACGAGCCTCAAGTCTCTATTACGTAGCAGCAGAAAAATCACCTCAAAGTTCATGATAACCCACATCTGCTAATCTCTCAAGGTGACAGCCGGACCACATCCCTGACAATGGTTCCCCAGTCCGCTAAGCAGATCTCGGAATAGAGTTTCGACGCGCAATTCTAGAATTTTATGGACTTATGCTCAGAGATCCCGGGGTTCGACCAACACCGAGTCGTGTCGTGATCGGCTTCTTTCCCTATATCGTTAAAGGCCGATGTCGTTGGTCGCACACGTTCCTCTCTCGGCACTCTGACTCGCCCCGAAGAACCCGAGTCAGCTTTTAAGCGGAGCACAAGATTATCAAGCCCTTGTGTAATGATAACCCCCTCAGATAGGATTTTAGCGGGGAACATGTTCTCCAGAACCTCGTCAATCAAGGGCGTGGAGGAGATTGGCCCACAGATGAGCATTGTGAGATCAGCCGGGCTCTCCATAGGGTGAGGTAACAAAAAGGTAACAGAAACAACCGGAGAAAAGTTACAAGGAATTACCGCAGTTCCTGCCAAGAGGTGGTTGGGGTAAGGATACGACTCCGCGGCCTCCCTTTATCAGTGATTGTCTAGTCTGGAAAAGGAAGCCCGGGGATCCCCAGTCCTTGGCGCAATCAGATATCCAGGGGGGGTTCAAACCGGGGTTTCTGGCATCGCAATCGAACATCTCGCTTACGCCGCAGAGGCACGACATTTTCCCCTGAGATGGATGTGACGGACAAAGAACCCTTGGATGGACACTGACAGTTGAGAACGGTGAATCTGTGCCGTAATCTCGCAGCACGCAATGCAAGGGCGGGGATTAGGAACACCTCCAAGGATTCCGCTAGAAGCCCGGTCGAACCATTCACCGGGCTGCGGATCGGCGCTCTGCAGTACGCAACTAGGCCATCCGGCCTTGCACTTGCAGCACGCGGGCCAGAGTCAGTCTCGCTTCGGCCGCTAGAGCACAAGTTCCGATTCGGCGTCGGCTTGGGCTGTTGGTTAACTACCTTGTTGCTTCGCTCGTTCCTTGACGATGTGATGCTATACCACCGGCCCGATGCACCTTGTTTGTTTATCAAATCAAAAATCCAAATAGGTGGGATGTCCGCCTTGGCTTCCCGTACGTCAACATTCCCGTCTATTTAAGATGAGGTCTGTTCCCCATTCCAATTGACCTCACTGTCGGTTCCTCTCCAGCTTTCCACAAGGGTCATCCAAGCTTAATCAACACCCGGAGACTTTCTCAAGCCAAAGAACCATGTCGTCCTTCACATCCCTGCTCTCCCTGGGCGCCCTGGCAGCTACTGCCCTGGGCTCACCCGTGCCAGAGATCCCCCACCTGGCCCCCCGAGCTGTGAGCGACTTCCAGTGCTTCAACGCCAGCCTGCCCAACATCACCATCTTTGCTACTGGTGGTACCATTGCTGGTTCGGCTGGTTCGGCTGACCAGACTACTGGTTACCAAGCCGGAGCTCTGGGCATCAAGGTTCTCATTGATGCCGTTCCTGAGCTGTGCAACATTTCCAACGTTCGTGGCGTGCAAATCGCCAACGTTGACAGCTCCGACATCACCTCGACTATCCTCACCAACCTGACCCACCAGATTCAGGCTCAGCTGGATAGCCCTTACACACAAGGTGTTGTCGTCACCCACGGAACCGACACCCTCGAGGAGTCTTCCTTCTTCCTCGACCTGACGGTCCAAAGCGACAAACCCGTCGTTGTCGTCGGCTCTATGCGCCCTGCCACGGCCATCAGCGCTGACGGTCCTATCAACCTGCTGTCCGCAGTCAAGCTCGCCGCCAGCGACAGCGCCAAGAAGCGAGGAGCCCTCATCACCCTCAACGACAGAATTGCCTCTGCTCGTTACACCATCAAGACCAACGCCAACGCTCTCGACACCTTCAAGGCTGAGGAGCAGGGTTACCTGGGCGCCTTTGAGAACATCCAGCCTGTTTTCTGGTACCCTCCCGTCCGACCTCTGGGTCACCACTACTTCAACATCAGCTCCATCTCTGCCTCTGAGCCTCTTCCCAAGGTTGACGTGCTCTACGGCCAGCAGGAGGTTGACCCCGAGCTTTTCGAGGCCGCCGTTGAGGGTGGTGCCAAGGGTATTGTTGTCGCTGGTGTCGGTGCTGGCGGCTGGCCTACCAAGGCCAAGGAGGCTCTTGAGGAGGTTGTCAAGAAGACCAAGGTCCCCGTTGTTGTGAGCCGCCGAACCGCTTGGGGTTTCGTGTCTGGCCAGGACTACGGTATCAACGCTGGATACCTCAACCCCGCCAAGGCTCGCATTCAGCTTCAGTTGGCTCTGGCCAAGAAGCTTCCTGCCAAGGAGATCAAGGAGATCTTTGAGTATACCCATGTCGAGTAGATAATGTTCACGAGAACCTGATTATGTTCTGATGAGATATGCGATAGAATATCGATTTTAATACCAAACCCAATACTCAATTATCTGTTCAATTTGCGTGCCTAAGATGATAACGGCCACAGATATCTTCTGGTTAACGTATTTAACGAGTGTTGTATTTGACAACCACGAGGCGTACTTTGGTCCTGGATAGTCGTCCATGTCCATAACCAGCATAAACCCAACGAACAGGTGATGCATGCAATATTTTCAACCACACAATCATGATACCTTCTTTCTTTTACTCTCATCCGTCCCATGAGCCCAATCCAACCAAGGCAATCCTCCAAAATGAACATCAAACCGCTCATGATGACGATCATGTCGACGAGCCGCCCCTCCAAAAAAGTCAAACCCACTATGAACCGTCGCCGTCTCCAACAACTGCCAAGCAAGAAACACCCACATCGTAATGATATGCGTTCCTAGGACCATGGGCGGCAACGCGATAGGAAGAGTATTCGCCACAATGTGCTCGACGGGATGTGCATACTGTGACGCAAACGAGACCGGGGCCGTAAACTTGTGGTGCACCTTGTGGATACGACGATAAAAGTACGGGATGTGGAGGAGTCGGTGTGAATAATAGAATAGGACCTCACGGGCCACGATGCATAGTGCCAGGTCTTTGATGAATGACTCTGCTGTGGGGAGCGATGTCGTAATTTTAAACGGGGAGGGTTTGTTTTGTGAGGCTGCTGCGGCGGCTAGGCCTAGTTGGATCGTGGTGACGATGATCTGGTTTCGAAGTGATATGACGATGGCATCGCAAACCTCTGCCGTCGTCGGTTGTTTCGGGGCAGGCTGGATCTTGTGTTTGGCGGCAAAGGTTGGAGTTAGGTAGTCGAGAGAAAGGAAGATGGCAGATGGAATCCACCAAAAGACAACCTGAACTGCAAAAGAACCGAAAAGTTCTATCATGAAAGGACTATGCCGATCCACGATATCATGCCAGAGACGGGCCATGATGTCCGTAGCCAAGGTTGCCAGAGTTGAGTTGAAGCTAGTTCCAGGCACAAGCAGCCACAGAGATATATACGTCGTCAATAACCCAAGAAGTCGACTAACTTGATTAAGGAGGAGACATACCATCATGCATGCACCCCGCATTTTCATCGTAAAATTCCAAGAGATCGAGAGACGTCTCCTGCATTGGCTTAACCGGTTCCAGTAACGCCTCAAAGCAATCATTGCCTGTTCGACGCTCAGCCTCGGTTATACCCGGTCGAGGTTGCCACCATGGGCAACTACACGTGAAAGAAATTGTTCTTCCCGAGGCTTTCACGAGGGGATGGTGAAGAGACAAAGGATGTTTTCAGGTCACATGGGAGTGGTAGGTAAATCAGATCATGAACAAGAGAGTGTGCAGAACTGAGTAAATGAGTCTAATTCAAAGAGAGACATGTGCAATACTGTCAATACACAAGACAAAGTGTGTAGTATAAATATGAGAAGTCGAATGTAAACCGTAGCCACCACCCATCCCTGCCAGCTCGCCTCAACTAGACAGTGCAATAGTTGGCATGCTCATAGTCACTCAAGCACCATCTATTCATCCCATCGGGAGTAACAAACGTAGCAGCGAAATCCGGCGTTCCAACAGGGTGACATCCCTTACCTCCGTCCTCAGTAACAGCCACAGCATTGGCATAAAAGTCCTGAGCATTCCCAACAGTCAGACAACCGTATCCAGGACCTCCATGCTCAGCATCCTTGGAAGCGATAGTAAGAGCGCAAAAGTGAATGTTGCTGTTGTCGAGAGCGATACGGCACCACACACTGTTCTGGCCCTTTCCTCCATCCTGGCAGTCATTACTGCAGATCTCCCTGTTGCGGTCCGTACCGAGGCTAGCAATGGCTGCAGAACAATAGGTGACCAGCGAGACCATGTCCTTGTTGACGCCATCAGACGCGAGGCACTGGATCTCGTTGACCTCGGAGGGAAGAGCGGGAGTGTCAGACTCTTGATTGCCTTTGCCGCCACGGCGATCTTGCTTCCTCTCAGCCTGCTTGCCCTCGGTGCACTGTTGGTCATAGGTCTGGTAGCCGTCAAACTTGGCAGCTTTCTTCCACGCGTCGACTTCGTTTCCACCACCACAGTTGCAAGGCATGATGCGCTCACCCAACTGGACATTGTAACTGACATCGCCGGTGTCGCAGACGGGGATAGTGAAGGTACCCTCCCAGCTCGTTCCGTGGTCCCAGGGATTAGCCCAACCATCAGTAACTGCCTCTTGAGCTCGCTTGACCGAGTTTTCACCGTCGTAATCAAACCGGTGAGCCTGATACGCCGCGATGGAAGCCTCAAACACATCGTTGAGGGATAGCTGATAACCCTGCTCGATCCAGCCAGCAGCAAGCTTATCCCAACCAGTTGGGTGATCCATCTTTCCAGTATCAAAAGTGTTGAGGCCAGTAGTGGAACCAAGTCCAACAGATGCCTCGTGCCACCAGTAGAGGTAGTAGACACCAGGATCACCCTCGCGGCAGTACTTCATATCCTGAGGACCCTGCTTGTCCTGCTCGCAAGAGCCGTCGACATCAGTGGTGTAGGTGATGAAGATCTTTTGCTGGCGCCAGATGTAGTTGATGGCCCGAGCATTGAACTGCTTTTGGAGATACTTGCGAAGAGTCGCCAGTTGCGAATCGGATGGCTCGCTGCTAAACTCTTGGCCGGGGCCAGGGAGAAAAGCGCCGCCAGAAGCATACTTGCTATACAAAAGTCAGCCAGTTTCAACGTCATGATTGAATCAAACGTACAAGAATCGGTTGCCGCCCCAGTAATTACCAATAGCAAGATTCTCCTGCATATCATTGAGGGCAGTTCGAGTCTGTTCAAATACATTGGTCATGAAAACACCAAGATCCGCAAAGTCGGAAAACTTTTGATCAGCAGGATACTGCACAACCTCACGGTAACCCGTTCCAATACCATTGAGCAAGGCACCGAAAGCAGATGAAGACTCCTTAGCAAAGTCGTTGGATTTGACCCAGTTGTTGAGCTTGAGGTATGAGCCGCCGATAGAAAAAGCAGTTCCCATGCCGACGAGGAGTTCCTTGAGTCGGTGTCAATTGAAGTTGGTTGTATGGGGGCCACGGTGCACATACACGGAGGAAGAACTCGAAGCTCTTTTCAATGGGAGGGAAGAAGTTGGAGACGAGGTAAGCCGACATGCCCTGAAGGTTCATCTGAGTCTCATCAAGGACTTCCTGTAATTGAAGTCAGCGGAAACCCAAGCTCTACTTTTAGTAAGAGGAGACGGTTTGGAGCATCATACGATAAAGTCTCTAAAGTAAGACTGGAAACCTTGAAGGGACTGAAGAACCATGTAGACAGGGCGTTGCTTGTCATGGTCGCCACATTCCTCGCCCCAGTTGCCGGAACACTTGATATCTACCACGGATTAGGCCTCTGTTGGTCCGTCAAGAACGCATACTTAGCGCACCTTCGCAGAAGACATCACCGAAGCACTGGTCGTTGGGTTTGGCGCACTTGTAGAACTCTTTCTATAGATGCAACTGTCAGCCGGGTTTGGCACATCCTTCACCAAGGGCCAGACCTACACCATCCAAGTACATCCGACCGAAAAGGTTGACCTATGATGATTAGTCTGTCGAGTAATCCCACAACGAGAAGTAGTCCATACAAAATTGTTTGGCCAGCCATTGGGAATCACAGCCGAAGTATCGGGCCCGTTGCCGCCGAGATACCTGAGCCACCATGCTTCAAACCAAGCATCAGTGCCAGCCTCGAACCAGTTGTTGATGTTGGTCGAGTCCCAGGTCTCAAAACCGCAACGTCTCTTGACGAGGTCAGAGGTGGTCTTGGTCTCTTGGACTACAGAAACTGGGCTGGCGGATGAGAAGGAAGAGAGAAGCAGGCCTGAAGCGACCGTAAGGAGGGAAAACTTCATCATGAGGAAAGGAATGAATGGTAAAAGAAAGGGGGTAACGATTAACCAAAGAATGTGAATATCAGACACGAGGCGCCTGCCGATCCAGGAAGCTCAGAACATCAAGACAGCCCAGATATTTATACCTCCAAGTCATATTTCCCACCTGGTAAAATTGTCAATGTTTCAATGTTGATGGCGGAGAGCCTGGAGCTATGCCAGTCGGCCGCCGTGATGCCCGAAACGGCAGCTTGATCGAAGCGACAGGCCTTCTAAACTGTTTAAAGTGACCGAAATCACACCAGCTCATGCCGGTGCAAACAATGCTGGCGCATCGCCACGGAGGCTGATGCTGCGGCACGACTGTCAGTCGACGATGAAACACGGGCGTTGATATGCGTAGCGAATCAGGGCTTACGATTCATCCCACGAGCTTGATGAACGCAAGGGTTACTGGGATAGAGTAAGCAATTGAAGGATTCAACTGCCGGTCCTGAATGGTTTTATTCAACGCCAAGTAACGTCAGCCTTACGCCCGGAATGGCCCTGAGCGTCGATCAGAGCATTTCAATTAGCTCTCCATCACGATAGGGGTGGACCTGATGCTTATTTTTACCCTGTATGTTAAACTCATCATCAGTCGAGCGGCCGCCCAGCCAGATGGAACCCCCGAAACGAGTCAACTCGGAAAATAGCGGTACTTGCTTTGATCCGCATGCTGCCCCGACGAGCCGGTGATACGGAATTGTGCGCATCAGTCAAGAAGATGACTTGATCGATCAAGACTCAAATCAGCAACAACACATGATTACACAAAATTGTGACATATGGTCTCTTGTTGAACTATGACTGCAATCGCCGTATCGTATGTACATCCTTTTCTTCCTGGCGGCTCTGGGAGAACCTGGACGACCAGATTTCAAATAAAGACCAAATCGCCAACTCCGTAGCCTGTAGTCTGACCCAAAAACCTGCTCCTTTCAACCTTAACAAAACCGGTCCAGGTGTTTGGCTGGATTTCTTGGTCCCCAAGTACAGATTTGATCCTCAAATAGTCTCCGTTGTCGAATTTCAGAGTCCAGCTTTGAGGATATGTCCGGTTTGATGTAGACGACCACCACGAATCTTCCCAGTGCTCTTCCAGAGTAAAAGGCAGCACCGTGGTCGTCTCCTCGCCAAGTCGTACCGTGGCAAACCTCCATGAGTCCGAAGACTCGGGCCAATCGTACGCCCAGACGCTCACCCTTATGTTGGGATCGGGGAAGTGAACCTCGAAAAAGGTAAAGGCATCCGGGGGACCCTTGATGATCTGGTGGTCGTACCAGGTATGCGATTTTGAAGGGTCAAGTTCCAGAGCCTTGCCATCGCCGAGCTGCAACGTTCCCGAGGTGCGAGCGGCGGGAATGGACCAGTGGGAGCAAGTGGTGTAGTTCGGTCCCCAGGCAATGACACCATTGCCCCCGTTCAACAGAACCTTGGACGTTCTGCCCTCAACAGTCAAGTTGAACGAGTATTCGGGTGCCGTGGCAGACAGTTGCATCTGAGAGATCTTGTCGGGAGCAGCGCCAGCAAAGGAAAAGTCTGGGAACTGAATGCTCAAAGAGTCTTCCAAGAGAGTCTTGGATGCGCTGTTGACTTCACAATGTTGCACATTCTTCAAGTACTTGAGAGTCTTGAGGTCTAGGACTGAAGACTTGCAAAACGTACTGAACTGGTGATGAATGATAAGGAACTGCCGCCCAGTAGTGGTGGTGGCAAAGGCGCTGCTCCAGTAAGATCCGCTGTTCTGGTCTTGAGGTAGATCAATTTGGGATGGGATCCGGGTCTTTAAAGAGGTCAGCGTTTCTAAGGCTTACAAAAGAGAGAAAGAAAAATCAAAGAAGGGAGCAAGTTTAAACAAACAGCCCACGTACATTCTTCCAAGTGTCGTGGTTGTCAGGCCGAAAACTGTAGCCGAATGCGACGGCTGAGGTCCACCACATAAAAGCGAAAAGTTGGACTATTAGTGAGGCCATCGTAGGTACGTTGGCGCTCGAGGGGTTGAAGTTATTGTGTGAAGATGTGTGTAAGGTGATAAACCAATGCTAGATGGTTATCCTATTCAAACCGTCAGGCCATGGGCCGTATTTATATTGTTTGGTGATTGCCGTGACCGAAGTTGGTGACTCTGTCGACACCAGTTGTCGGATTCATCCCGAGTCCGTTGTTCCGGGAAATCATTCAAAGAAGACGGCATTATCCGTTGCCCGTGAAGTGGAAGCGGAACCGGCTAGACGATCAAGTCCCGGCTTTTCAAAGATCCATGCCATTTCATTAGACTCTGGTTGATCTTTGCTGAGCCACCCTGTTAGATGGCAAGGGGCCAATGGTGGCACTAATATGACCGATTACTAAGGTTACTAAGCGGCATTCAACTTGCCAAGCTATGCTTAAAGAGAGGAAATAGAGTGTAAGTAGGTAATTAATTAATTTATGCTTGGAGTTCCTGCACAAGAGCCGAACTTACTTTGCGGACTTCGGGCTTCAAACAAATCCGGGACAGGTTGAAATGGTTAGCTGACGGGTTTTGCCGAGAGGCGGCATGCAAGTTACCAGGCTGTGCTTTGAAGCTGATATCATTGCGCCGGTGGCTGTCGTTCGTATACCTAACGACTGTCTTCTTCATGCCGCCATACCTGATAAATGTGAGCTCTAGATAGAAGGCCCTCTGACCAACCTGGCATTCAGAACCAGCACCATAAAAGTACCATAGTAATAATGATAGTATATATAATACTATCTGAAAATCTGGGAAATAACGCTCAAGGCATCATGCTATAGGTTGCTTGTACTGGCGCAACCACCGTGTTGTAGAATTGTATCCGGAATTGCTCAACATTGAACTGTCTTGTCGACTTAGGACCCTGGAACGAGGACTTGATACACCTCTGAACCGCATTGCCGTATGAATCGCCTGCCTCGCGGTAGACATCGTCAAGTCTGTCGATGGCGGTATCATATTGATCTAGGATTGGAGCTGAAACAGCTTGTCCCCACGATTCATCATGCAAAGTATGCCGAAGCTCTTCAAAGGGTGTTTTGAGGCATAGCTCCATAAGAATGACGCCGAGCGTGAAGATGGTCTTGTTGGGAATCAGGCGGCTAAAGTCTCTCGTCGTCGAAAAAGGTGACTTATCCGTAATTGCCGGCTGGTGAAATGCATACGAGTTGGATGGGAGCTGTGAAACAAGTTGCATTTCTCCACTGCTATCATTGACGAAGAACTTGATTTCGTCCTGATCCCATCCTTCTCCCAGCCACGGGCTGTCGCTCAAATGGAGAACGGACCAGGCAATCGAGGTGGCAATAGCATATCGCTGCTTAGCTGAAAGAGCAAGATTCGCATGGGCCTGTCGTCTATTCTGGTTTAGGAGCAGGTGTCTCAACGAGATTGTCCTGGTAAGAAGAGAGAGCTCTTCCGAGTGTTGGTTCAAGGAAAAGTGCGAAATCTGTCGGTCCTTGTCGGCCTCTGGGTCTTGGAGACACCCAGTAATGGACCATGGAGCGCATTGTACTCGGACTTTGTCACACAGGTTTGCAATAGTCTTTGCGGGTGGCGGGGCCGTGGACGGGGCCGTGACCTGGACTATTTTGATGAGCGGTCAAATCGCGAAATTCGGGATTATTCTCGAGCCCTACCAGGTTGAGGAGTTGTCGAGTGAGTGCGATGCGGCCGTCGATAGATCATGTCACGAAGACTGGATGGGGCAGACTTGGCCTTGACCCTAGTAGGATTAGTAGTGGTTGTTTTCGTATCTACCAGACCGCTTCCCTTGGGCGTGACGTGGAATTTCCGCCATGAGTGTTCCGATTCTGGATCCGTCTCATATGACAATCCTGCTGAAAAAGCCGATTGGGAGCGTAGAGGCCCTAGATTCCAGTCTAGGTCTATGGTCGCTTGGTGAGATGATGGGCAGTTGCACTGCAAAGCAGACTTCAGTGCTCGGTGAAAAGATCTCAGACATGATCGGATCGAGTCGCAATGCTTCGGGTTGAATCCCCTGATGAGAGTTTGGACTTGACGAGTATCATCTTCGGCAGATACCTCGGTCCGTTCAAGGCAGTTCCTTAGGTCTTGGTTCCACTTCCTCAGGTCATCGATGAGGGATCGGTTCTTCTTTGAGGCGAAGGAGCGCTTTACTCGACGCCACTCCCATAAAGCCCTATCTGGAGAATCATCTGTCCAGCGAGGCTGAAGTTGACTTCTGTGTTAGTATGTGTTCTTTACTGATGGATTCAGCACGCTAACTGTGGTGTGATAAGACACCTTGCCCTTGATGGAGGGTTGAAGTAGCGGGACTGGCGGTCTGAACACATCTTGCCCTTATTTCAAGAAAGAGGTTGCCCAAGCTGGAAGAACACTCACCTTCCCATTGATATCGATGTCTAGATCTCCTAGTAACTTCGATGCCCTCTCGTCCATTGCCTTGATGATGATGACTAGGTCCTGGTGAATGCTGGGAAACTTGGCACAGAGACATTCCTGGAGCTCATCCATGGAAGGATTTTCCAGTCCAATGTTTCGAAGAGTTATCTCCAGTTGACTCTTTTGCATGGTTAAGTCGGCGCGAAGAGTCTGAATAGCGACGTAGTAGTTTTGGTGAGTCTCGAAGGGTTCAGCATACTTCTCCAATGCCCAGATGGCAATGGGAATGGCGCCAAGAACGAGGCCTGCGACCTCAGCCATGACATAAACGCTGCAGAGATTCTCGGTACTGGGGGAAGGACAGGCCACTACGACTCAGAGACGATGCGGGATAACGTGCGTTAAAGAAGGATGACGGGTGAGGGGATTGGTGATGGCCCCACTGCGTTTCTTTCGGCTGGGCATATCAGGCTCTGACCAGGCTGTGTGCGCCTCACCTTTTGTTGGACAGTGATTGGGTGAAGGATATGTTTACTGCATGAGCTGAAAGAAGTAGAACAGCTCTCATAGGTTGGAAACCCCTCTTTGCCGAGAGTTCTCTTCAACGGCCATAAGTTGCGGCCATTTTCCGGCATTCAACTCAAGACTCCCACCCGTCAGATCATTCTTCAACTAAACCACCATGGAGGGCGTCCCGAACGAAGCGGCTACGCTGTCGCTTTCTAAGTCGTTTGATGAGTGCATACGGCTATTCCTGAATTTCCGGCTAGCCCTGAGCAACGAGGATTGTCGTGTGGTGCGTCTTGGGCAAGTTGATCTCACTGAGGTGTCGGATCAGTACGGGAGAGCCAAAATCTGGGGAGACCAGATGAGAACAGACCTCCCAGAAAGGGCTAGAGGCTCACTGGATGACACACTCAGGCATGACGACGATCTCAAAGGTTTGGTTAAGAACATTTTCTTGCGGCTCGGCGGACTCCTTCGCCAAGGCAAGTGTAGGAATCAACGCAACTAGGACATTTATCTAACTCTGTTCCAGCAACATCTATTGCGGAGAGAAAGTACGATCCAGTTCTTGGGTCAGATCGCGATTCAATCAGCAGCGTCAGCGCCGACGACTCGGACAGTGACTCTGATTCAGATTCAGATGACGATGACAAACCTCAGAGTAAAAGGATGCCAAAGATCCGCCTGCTAGTCCAGCAAATCACTGATCAAATTCGATCGCTATATGACCTGTCTTCCTTACTTCGGCGCCCCAGAATAGCAGACAAATACATTCGCTCTGTCAATTCCAAGTCACACTCACACAGAACCGCATCGGACCAGCCGGCCACGCTGCCGTTCATGGTCTGCTTCAACAAGTTAGATGAGAGCCACATCATAGAAAAGGTACTGCAGTGGCGTGGCTTGACCAAGAGCGGGCAGAACTTCAGCTGTGAGGACGAGGCCCCTGCTCAAGAGAGACACGGCTTGGCAACAGACGATATCGGTGACATTCTGTGGTACTGCCAACGACTTGCAAGAGCGAATACGAGGCGCCGAGAGCAGCTTCAACACTGGGCTGATCATCCATATATTTCCACACATGATAAACCTACCTCGGGCCGACCCTTACCAGTCTTGGTAAAGCCGCCTGTCAAAGCATCAGAGATCAAGGAGGAATCAGCAAGCCAAGTATCCACCCTCAAGCCGGCGAGCTTCAAGTTCTCGCTAGCAGGGCCAGAATCAATCATGTCCAAACAGAGCTTTTCCACAGCTGCCGTCTCAGATGTTCACGATACCAAGACAAACGCTCGGCCACGGACAGTCTACGCTGCCACCAATGTTGGCCAATGCCGGTCTAATGCTGTCCCAGACCCCCCAAAGAAGCAAGACGGACAAACGACATTTCCATGTCCGTACTGTGGGACTACTCTCGAGTCTAGTGAGATGCAGGATAGGCAGTCGTGGAAGTACGTTGAGTCTTATCACGCATTAGCCAGACCCTTACTAACCTCACCAATAGGCGCCATGTATTTCGTGATCTCCGTCCATACATCTGCACATTCGAACATTGCCAGAACCCCGACAAGCTATACGTCAGTCGCCACGAGTGGATATATCACGAACTTCAGATTCACCGGCGCAAGTATGTCTGTAAAGACTGCCCCAAGACATACTCTAGCAGGACGGAAATGTCAGCACATGTCCAGGGGCACTATGGCGAATCCATCTCACCGGCGCAGTTAGGAGTGATACTGGATCTCTGCGATCAACAGGACGACGGCATGAATGGCGAGAAAGACGAATGCCTGGTTTGTGGGGAGGAGCTCTCGTTCCTGGCGTTGCAGGGACATTTGGCCACGCATATGGAGGACATGGCTCTCTTCGTGTTGCCCAATACCCAAGAAGGGCAGGATATGGGAGGGACTAACGACTCTATGCGAGCGGAGAAGCTTCAGTCAAAAGGAGAACTCAGTGATTCCAAGTCACAGACAAGCAGCCTCGGATTTTCTGCAGCCGGAGATCATGGGCAAGCCCCAGCCGACTTCTCCAAGCTACTCACGAGTGAGGAAGCGGGGTATAGCTCCAAGTTTACCCACTGGAAAGTTACCGACGATTCAGAAGTGACATCGTTAAAAGCCATGGTCCAACAACTGGAAGACCAGGACGAAAAGGTTAGACATGCTGCCGTTAAAGCATTGGGTAGCCACCCAGCTTTGTCAGATGAAATCATCGAAGCCATGGGGCCAAGGTTGGAATGCAGGGACGGCAATGGCTGGACGGTGCTATCGTGGGCCGCCGAGACTGGTCATGCAGCTACCTTCAAGCGACTCATCATGAAGGGGGTCGATGTCGAGTCTAGAGATGGTCTTGACCGGACGACTCTACATTACGCCGTCAAGAATGGAAACGAGGCCATTGTCAGGATGCTACTCAATTACGGAGCTAATCCTGAGCCCAAGGATAAGTATGGGGGGTCACCTCTACATTGGGCCGCCTGGGATGATAAGAAGGCCATCATCAGAATACTACTCAAGGTAGGAGCTGATGTTGACTGTGGAGATGAGGACGGGCAGTCGCCTCTACATTACGCCGCCGAGAGCGGAAGCGAGGCCGCCGTTAGAATACTGCTCGAGAAAGGAGCCGATTTTGACTCCAGGGATATGAACGGGCAGTCGCCCCTGCATTACGCCGCCATGAATGGAAACGAGGCTGTCGTCAGGATGCTTCTTGAGGTAGGAGCTGATGTTGGCTGCAGGGATGAGGACGGACAGTCGCCTCTACATTGTGCTGCTAAGAACGGAAGCGAGGCCGCCGTTAGAATGCTACTCGAGAAAGGAGCCGAAGACCAAATGAAGGACAAAGAAGGCGACACGCCGCTGTCATTGGCCACCAAGAGCGGCCATAAGCCCATCGTCCAGCTTTTGCAGCAGGATGCGGACTCCCCAGCGAGCCACCGGTCGCCCGAGGCCCGCCATTCAACTCCGCCAACTGTCAGGGATGTCACCTCTGGCATCTCTCTTACTAAGATCGACCTCAAATCCCTACCCCCACTCTACAAGAAGGTTAGAAAGGGATGGTATGCCGTCTTTAACCCCCAACTGCAACGTGATCTCGATGTCGATCTAGTCCACGTATTTAAACATTTCACTACTGTCAGCAGTGTGACATTCAGCCACGACGGCATGTACATCGCTACTGGCAGTTACCGCACAGCCCGAATTTTCGACATACAGACTGGTGAGCAGGTGTGTGTCCTGGATCACAGCGCTTCCCATGCGAACCAGAGTATATACATAAGCAGCGTGTCCTTCAGCTCTGATGGCCACTGCCTAGCTACGGGTGCAGAGAACATGGTTTACGTGAGTCAACTTCCTGCCTCTGTCCAGCTTCAACCCGACTAAAAACTGGCATGTCCACCTAGTTATGGGACATCAAATCTGGTACAATTCTAGCCCAGCTCGAGGGCCATAAGAAGGAGGTAAACTCGATAGAGTTCTCTTCTGATGGAAGAAGTATTGTTTCGGGTGCTGTTGATAAGACTGTCCGTTTGTGGGATGTCGACACCCGGGCTAACGCCCGTATCCTCTCCGCTGAAGCCAGCATCCTATCGGTCACCTTTTCACCCGATATGCAACTTATCGCTTCAGGATCAGCAGACAGAAGCATAAGAGTCTGGGAAGCAAGTACAGGTGTACTTCGGGCGTGTCTTGACGGCCCTGAAGGACACAGTGATGCTGTTTATTCGGTCGCCTTCTCGCCCGACGGCGAGACCCTCGCCTCAACCAGCATTGACAATACTGTCAAGGTGTGGCACCTGGGAATGCCCACTAAACCCCAAAGCCCATGGGAAGTGAAGTGTATCAAGACTCTCCAAGGCCACACAAGCATTGTCTACTCTGTTGCATTCACCCCTGATGGAAACGGGCTTCTCTCCGGGTCTGCGGATAAGAGTTTGCAGTTCTCGGACTCGAAAACAGGTGTGGCACAATTCATGCTTGTAGGTCATGGGCATACAGTTAATTCGGTTGTCGTTAGCCCCAGGGGGGGCATCTTCGCGACTTCATCCACGGACGGGGAGGCTCGAGTTTGGTCATACGGCCCATACCAGGCAGAGAGAGCCTAGTATAGGGGATAGCTTTCCTGAGTCCTCTGCCGAAGAAGCGTTTCTTTGGTCCCACAAGAAATTCGAACAACTTGTTTAGATGATAGAAAGGACAGCGGCATGCAAATCTCGGTTTTAAACGCCGCCATCAAATTTAGCAAGAGTCAGGGCTCACCCCACCAGGCTCACTGTACCGCGTTGCCGCGCCCTGGGAGATCATAAGCCATTCATGCGATACCACAGACTCTAGAACAAAGACTTTAGGGCTCCATGATGGTTGAAGATGCTAATTGGCTTGCTGCATTAACCGTCTGAGCACTGTCATGTGAACCCGTAACCCCAGGGATCAACGACGTGGCGATGAAATTCACGGGCTCTGCTATAACAGTAGCTTCCGGATCTGAGTAGTGATAATCACTGGGAAATGAGAATAACTGATGCCATATCCGGAAGTAGCTGAGAAACAAATTCTTAAGCATAGATGATGTTGAGCAAAGCGCAGGCTAAAATTGAAATCAACAACACTTGGCCGGGACTTTTTTGGGCATGATTTGGTTTCTACTAATTTAAGGGCGACTTGACTTCAGGCGTTCCTCATATCAAAGAATCACCAGGAAGTGTAAACATCTGGAAAATCGACTTGCTGGTCCAACTTGTAATGCCTCGTCACAATGGCTTCACCGCGAGTTCCTCAACGTTAGGCAGCGCCACAGCCTTTGAACAAGTCGACAGAATACGCGCCTACTATTCGATTGAAGTTTGGCCAACCAAAATTCCCAGTCTATTCTTGTCCTACACTATCAAGCTCAGTGTCACACCCCATACACGCCACCACCACCTTCTCTGAAACGCCAACTCCCGTCTGCTGTACTACCCAAGGCAGAGCTATTCTCAACACCACTAAGACGGCGCCACTTCAGCCATACGCGTGTCCAGCGCGGCTTAGAGCTGCAGCCAGCTCCTCTCGGGTGGCTTGGGTGAGAGCTCCCGGCTGAGCTCCTGTCCCCCAGCAACCGGGTCGGCTGAGCTCCTTCAGGCAGCAAGATCTTGGGCGGTCAGATCTAGGACTACGAAGATCCTTGTTGGGTGGAAAGCAGCTTTAGGCATTAAGCCTATTAAATATTCCTCCGGCGTTCACTCATTTCCAACATGACTCGTAGGGCTAGACAGTGAACAGCCGAAGACCCCTGGTTGAGCGGGTTGGAAGGGGCTGTTTGCCTCAATTCAATTGGGGTTTCACTCTGAGCCTGTGTTTTGAGAACAGTCCAACATATCCATTAATCCTATCCATAACCCATTATAGCCATCGCGGCCATATCATCATACTGTATAGACTAATGCATGGAGGCATATACAATGCGCCTCAGATTACCAGTCCAAACCGTCATATGCAACCCAACATTAAAACAGAGCAGCCAAGACAAGAGGCAGGGCGTAAACCAAGGCCATGTTGATAATGGAACCATGGGTGGCCGTGTTGGCGGGAGTGGAGCTGCTGCCGCCTGAACCAGAGCCTGAACCAGAGCCTCCGGAGCCGGAACCAGAATCGGAACCGGAGCCAGAGTCGCTGCCGGAGCCAGAGCCGGAATCAGAGCCAGAGCCAGATCCAGATCCAGATCCAGAGCCCGAACCAGAGCCCGAGCCACCGGAACCTGAATCGGAGTCAGAGTCATCAGATCCAGACCCAGATCCAGAACCGCCAGAACCTCCAGAGCCGCCGGAGCTGCCGGAGCCGCCGTCCTTGTCATCACCAGAGCTACCTCCGCTGCCTCCACTACCACCAGAACCACCCCGGCTCCCCGAAGATCCAGACCCAATATCCGAAATTCTCGCCTTGGAAACAGTCAACTCAACAGGCTGCTCACCACACTCCTGAACCATATCAATCTTGGGCTTGTTGTTGGTCGCCTGGAAGCTGTTGCTAGTAAGATCCTGGAACTTGCCATCCGTCACCTGTAGCTCCGAGTTGTACACGTCCGAGCCGTCCACCATCATCTTGAAGATGCACCCCTTGACCACCTCGTTGACCCCGGTCTTGTCGGAGCTGGAGCCTGCGGGCTTCTGCACCTTGACTGAGGCGATGACGCGGACATAGTCGTCCTTGGGGATCTCGAGGGGTGACTCGACGTTGATGGTGCAGTCGGCCTTGGAGTTTGCCTTGGGAGAGAGGACACTGATTTTGTTAGTCAAATGTTGGAGTGATATAGGGGATGAGGACTTACATGGCCGTCTTTCCATTGACCGTGCTGAACTTGGCGTTCTCACCAGGCTCGGCGTTGTCAAGAGGAAGTTCGATGGACTTGCTTGTCGCAGCAGAAGTGGCAACGGTTGTGAACGAAGTCTTGTCTCCAGAACCGCCAGCAGTCTTCGACGCTACGACGCTCTCCTCGGCATCATCATCATCACTGCTACCCGTGGTAGCTGAGGTATCCTCGCCCGTCGCCGATGGCTCGCTGCCAGTCTCCTCAGGTTGGTCAACATCCGTCGCAGTAGCTTCACCATCATCATCGCTGCCTGTTGTGGCCTCCGGGCCCTGGTACGAGGGGTTGGTTGCAGCACCAGTAGGCTCTTCTGTGGGCTCGACTGTGTCGGGCACAAGATTTCGTGTTTCCGTGGGCTCTTCACCATCATCGGTATTCGTGGGCTCGGGTGCATCGGTATCGGAACCTCCAGTTTCTTGAGGTGTCTCTTCAGGTGCCTCGGTCTCTCCCGATCCTCCAGTTTCTTCAGGGGTATCGTCGTCGCCACCCCCTGTCTCGACGGTCGGCTCGGGCTCAGCACCACCGGTGGGCTCAGTGTCTTCGCCACCAGAGGATCCTGTAGGTGCGGGTTCTTCATCGTCTGTTGGTGTTGTAGAGGCCGGGGTTAGCGTGTTTGTTCCATCTAAATTGACAGGCGGCTGAGCCTCAGGTGTCTGTGTAACAGGCGCCTGGGTAGTAGGCGCCTGTGTATCAGGTGCCTGTGTATCAGGCTCCGCGGCTGGCGTCGTCAGGTCCGCCGGAGCCTCGGAAGGCTCACCTGGAGTTTCTGACGGGGTTTCCGCGGGCCCCTCCGGAGCAGCTTCGGTCGGAACTTCTGGAGCTTCCGAGGGAGTTTCAGAAGGAACTTCGGGAGCAGCCTCAGAGGGTCCTTCGCGAGCCCCGCCGGGCACTTCTGGATCTGGTTCCCCAGAAGGCACTTCCGGATCTTCCTCGGCAGCCGTTGGCGACACTTCAGGCGGCGTATCATCAGGTAAAGGCTCACTTTGTGTTGGCTGTTCAGGCGCGGGTTCAGGTTCCGTATTGGCAGGGACGTCGCCGCTAGCATCGCCGCCAGTCTCTCCGCTTCCGGTGTCATCGCGTGTGACGATATCAGGAGCTGGGGCTCCAGTGTCGGCAGCCGTTTGGGCTAGGCCCCGGACGGCGAGAAGGCCCAGAATAAGGCCGCTTGAGGGACGCATGGTGTTGACTTTTGCGTTCTGAGGATGGCTTCAAGGGATTGCCAGGGATCAAAGAGCGAACCGTAGATGTCTTGTCAGGAGTCTATACCGATCACCAGTCAGGGCTGGACCTCGTCTCTATATATACCTCTCTCCCCATCTTTCCCTAGCAACGGCAACCCCGCCCTATGAGTTGTCGTCTCAGTAGGCGAAGTTTTGAGGCTTAGAGCTGAAAGGCCCATTGTGCGAGCTGAGGCAACACACCCCTAGTGCCAACTTTGGAGCGGTAGCACGGCAGCCACCATGCCATTGGGCGGGTCCCCCCAGCGTCTAGGGCTGAAGGATCGGTGAGAAACGGCCTCAATGTTTCTTCTGGAGCCCAATGACAGGCTTGTCAGCTGTCCATTCACCCACCTCTGCTCCACAGGGCTTCAATACTTTGGAAAGCATGTCTCTCAACCTCTTCGTCGCATAAACCACAACGAGAACAACGCAAGAGGGCTGGACCTGCCGCGGGGGGCTTTGCGGCGCCATGGTTGGGTTGCCTCTATTGTAGTGGACGCCACGGAGATGCGGGTTATCGCTAGTCCAGTAGCCAAAGCAAGCCACGCCACCTGTAGGTCGCCGACTAGAAAGCCACATCGCCGCTTTTTGACGGATGCTGAGAGACGGCTGAAGGGAGAGGTCTTGGCATGGCCAAGTCAACCTTGCACTATGGGACTAGACCACACAGTGTCTCTCTAGGCGAGGCAGCCTTCGCCTTCAGTGGATTCTAGGCCGTCCAAGGGCTGTCGCGGTTATGGTAAGCTGGCACACAACCCGTCTCAGCGCTGGGGCCCAGGACCTCTCAGACGCCCGGTAATTCGTTTAAGCTTATGCGGCTAGCATCAATGTTTATTTACCCCTTGTTAGATAGGCTACGGCCAAACAAGGTCTAGAGCTGCGTGAATGGAGAGGGCTTTGCTCACCAGGTCTCGAGCCTAGTGGGCCTCTTGAAGCGGCACGGAGGAGACCCGCGCCTCTGACCAAGGATTTTGTCAAGGAAACTCTCAGAGGAGTAACAATAGGCGAGAGGCCATTAGGGGAGAGCCTCGTGGAAGCTCTGTCACCTCGGAACGAGGCTCCCAGGAACGAGCCTCGCTTGGAAGTGCAAAGGCGAGCCTTGCAGTTCTGAGACAGATATACGCACACATGCAAAGAACCAAGCTAAAAGGTTCCCCAGATATCACGCACAGAATTCAACCAGGCAAAGTGCTCACTCAATTGTCGTCACAAGATGCCTCTTGCAGAATCTTACCCACCATAAAGTCGTGATCTAACTACCTATTCATTCTCTTCTGAGAAAATGACTGATTCACGAGCAACCGAAAGAAGCACGCCAAGAATGCCAAGAATCGCACCTACCGAAAGACCAGCCTAGACCCCAGGTCTCCCTGGATCAACGCCGATCAGCCAGCTGCTCGGTTCGGTTGTCAGCCCTACCAGTTTACTAACTACCACCAATTACCACCAAATTCTTGTCCATGCAAAACCTCATCGTAAACAACGTGCACTTTGGGTATTGCCAGCCGCGGACGTGGCTGGTAGTCAGCAACGCCTTGCATCACTTACCTAAAGGCTGCAGATTCCAAGCAGGGCGGCAGATGCGGTTGCCGCGGTTGTACTACGTACGTCAGAGGGTAAACAAGCAGACCAGGTTTCGCCTTGTGGGCGCAAGCCAAAGGCTGACTGATGTCTCATGGCGAGCTTGATGACCTCAAGAGGCCTCAAGACTTGAGAACGCAATCAGTTTCCACAATACAGGTAATATTATAGACAAAAACAGTGACTGGTGATTTCTCATTGCGTCATCCACATCTTAATCGTTTCTTTCCTCCTGGTATGAAGAGGGGATAAACCACTCTCTATCAAGCCACTTGAGCTGCGGCTGACCGGAGCTATTACCTATTTCAACAGGCCATAGAGAGATTTCCGTGGAGATTACGCAGGGAGAGAACGAGAGAACAGTTAATTCAAAACAAAGTCAATCAATTCCTGTTTCGTCGGTATTGACTCAAGAGTTATGTAAACTTAGAGTGGTGCTACCTATCATCTCAACCAACAAGCCCAGGTGTATCAACCGATCAGTAAAACAAAAACAGCCTCCTATCCAGAGAAGCCATCAGCGGCCGATTCAACAATTCCAGTGGGGGAGCGTCTTGTTCTTATCCGCGTACTTATTCACTTCGCACCCTCCCCCTTGAACGACATAGTTAGGCCTGGGCTCCAACATGTTTAGACCTTCCCACACGGCCGAGCCCACTCACATGACCCTTCTCCTCTCTTGGAGATGGTGGTGTATGTCTTGTGCGGCTCTGAACTTCCCTGTCTACATCACAGTTAGCATACTTCAGTCTTTTTAGGGTTGGGACGATGCATACCCTGGGTGATGAGAATATGGCCGGCTGTCCACGCTGTCATCCACCGCATGGGGGATGGGCTCAGGCTTCACTGGGTAAGGTCGCTTAACTTGCTGGTCTACATGAATCATTAGTTCTACGTTCATATTTCCAAGATTTTGCACTTACGGATGGGGACATATCCAGGATACTTTGGCAAGTTATCCGTGAGTTGAGGTCCTACCCTGTAGCGATAGTGAGGGTGATGGCGATGGTGAGGGCGCTCGAGGTGATGAGGACGATGGGGTTGGCGAAGATGCTTCACCGCGTCATGAGAGGGTCGGACAGGGCGACCGAGAGGCTTGTGGTGAGAGTCGAGCGGCAGCACGCACTCGGCCCTGACATGAGACTTGCTGTAGCTGGTCGAGCAGCTGAAGCCACTGATCTCCTTGGAAGACGCATCGACGACGATCTCAGTCTCGCTCACGCGGAGGGTTCCATGGCCGTAGTCATCAACGTTGAACTCGACATCGAGCTTGAGATCCGAGATGGTAAGCTTGTTGCTGCAAGCCGCACAGTGAAGCTTCTTGTCGTTCTCCTCAACGTCGTAGACAGTCGTGAGGACAGTGCCGGTGAGCTTGCTCTTTTCAAAGGTGACGGAAAGCCTCTGGACTTCAGCTGAGGCTGTCTCTGTGGCCCCGGAGAACACAACCCACGTGAGGAGGATGATAATAGTGGGGAACACCATGGTGAGAGCTATTATCTTTGCGCGGAGCTGGGAGGCGGAATGGGGTGTTGTTTTGTTATCAGAGGATTCTTTCATTCAAGTTTGTAGACCATGTCTAAACAACTGAGAAAAGCCACGGATTTATACCCAGAACCTGGTGGTTGAGATGAGAACAGGTTGCCTCAAAAACTCAACAAGAAACGGGATTCGAGGGGTAATGATCTCTTCGTGGACGCACTTGGGGTCTTTGGGCGACGCCACGAGGTAATATCAACCAAGTCTGATGCGTTGATTGCTACCATCTCCGAGAGCTTGTCAGACGTGGTCACTCGATTATGCACGGCGAGGTTCATGATGGCAAAGCGCATCAAATCGTGCGTGAAAAAAAATCACCGCCCGAGAAAGTCTGGTAATGTAAACGGTCATGACACGGCCGAGTCGGACGACGAGCGGGAGGCCTCTTGGCGGCCCGGCTCGGCGGTTTACATACCACCATCGATCCTCAGTGCGTGGCACGCAAAGATGCGGCTGCTGTTAAGAAGCTCAACATTGACAAACTTCAGCCGACAAGACGTAAGTTACCCCACTCTCATCACCAGTGTCATGGCTGACCCCCTGAGGAAAGCTAATGAAAGAGGAAGGCCACCATGTAACCAGCAAAGGTTGTTGCTCTGGGATGCTTAGGATCATGGAAAGCTATTTGATACATGCATATTTCTCACACTGCGATAACAATCAATTGCCTTATATGCGGTACCAGACGATACCTCCCTGAACCCAATCGCTCGTGTCAAATGCGCCATTGCGAGCGTCCAGTATCATCGCAAATGCATAACTCGCACATCTCTCAATCAGCAGATATATATAATGGAGGTCAGGCTCAGCTTCTAATAGGTATATCGGTCTCTTCACCATGCAGCCAAGCTTCATCCCATTGGCTTGGCGGGCCAAGACGGTCGGCCTCCAACATCTGCACGTCAGCCAAAATGGAAGCCAACGCATCAATGGCCGGCCTCCTGCTTCAACCACACCCACCATAGGACAAATGGTTTCGCGACAGCCAAAGATGGTTCAAGTACAAATACAGCTCATGCCACTCAGGCATTCGCATCTCGGACACTCCCCCTTCAGCTCACTTCACCTTGGAATTTTTCAACTACGTTTCACTCCAACGACGCAGCTCAACTCTCAGTATAAGGTTACCTCAACAAGAATGAAGTTTTATGCAGTCGCCGTTGGTAGGATCACGGGAGTTTTCACAACTTGGGAGTAAGTTACCTATAAGGTCAGCTGTGTGGACCTCTAACTAACGAGTTTGTGCAGTGAGACGAAACCCCAAGTAAATGGCTACAGCGGCGCAATACACAAGTCGTTTAAGTCGAGAGAGAAAGCTCAAGAGTTTTTGTATCAACATAAGGACGAGAGTAACCCATTCCTCCGTCCCAGGATGGAAGAGGAGTCCACCTAACCCAAGATCCAGCCGTACCAGGCTCGAAGACAGTCTGACCAACATGGCTGATGGAGTGAGTGGAGAATGGTTGTTGCGTCTCCAGAGAAGGGTCAAGTCCATCGTTTGAAAGGTGCGAGACGGATAGGAAGATATGAGGAAAGTGAGAGGAACTCATTTCATGGAAGGTATTTTGGTATATAAATTGCTATTATTTTCATTCAATCATCCTTATAAAGTGGCCTGATATATCAGCGAGCCCGTCGATCAATTCATCGTCATGTCTCGGACGGAATGAATCGTTCATTGCAAGTTCGCTGATTGAAACCAAGCCGTGCATCTTGTAGACAATTTACCCTTCGATTTCGCAATATCCAAGTCTCTAGTGAACATAAAAGAGCTTATTAATCTTTATCATGAGTGGTGCCCCTGCTGGCGGACATAACGGAGATTACTAGCCAGCATGTATTCGTAAGCCCAGAGGAGGGTCAGATTTCTCTCGACTTCACATTCTAACCACGAACTAAGCCAAAATCCATGTCACACCCAGTTTCTGGTCGCGCGTTGCCGCGCCTCGGTACCGCGTGCGACGAGTGTCGCCGCCGCAAACAGCGATGTGACGGACAGCAACCTGCATGTCGTGTCTGTCAGGAATCCGGGTTGACGTGTCAGACAACACAGCGAGGTGCACGAGGGCCAAAGAAAGGCTACATAAAGGCCTTGAAAGATCGAGTATTGGAACTCGAGGCTCTGTTGCAGAATCATGTTGGCGCAGAGAATTCGAACCAAGAGTCCAATCCGGAAATCCCATACGACATAATACTACCAACACCATCCACGGGACTTTCAGATGAACCATTGAACGGCGATATCCCGTTTTGGTTACCAGCAATGTCCGAGAATCCTATAGCCTTGACGGGTCCCTTGTCTGAGTTGACGCCGGCTTCCATACCTTCCCTGGCCTCTTCCAATCTTCCACAGATTACGAGCATGATGCACGCTGAACTGTATGATATCTCCGTAAAAAGCTGCTTCTAAAGGGTCGTATTAATTACCTTTACAGAGATCAACTCTATTTCGACCGTGTGCATCCGTCTATACCCATTCTCCATCAGAGAAGATACCTATCTTGGTCCAGGACTACCCCCAAGGCCACATCACGAGCTTGTCTTCAATGGACTATATGGGCACTAGCATCACTCCTCTCAACTCAATTCACCCATTTGGTAGAGCCACTCTATCAAAACGCTAAGCAGATGTTGGAGTGTCTCAGCCTAGAAAGCAAAGACTCCCATGACCACGACACGGAGCTTGTACAATCATGGGTGTTAGTTGCTATTTACGAGTCGATGCGTACATACCACCAACAAGCATGGATGAGCGCTGGCCGAGCCTTTCGTTTAGTTCAAGCCTTTCATTTTCATGAGCTTGATATGCCGACCAGGAATAACCTCACTCCCCGGTCAGAAAGCGACACTTTTATCGAGATTGAGGAGAAACGGCGTGTCTTTTGGATGGCTTACTTCCTTGACCACCTCTTCAGTATACGGAATGATTGGCCCGTTACTTTGAACGAGCATGTGGTAAGTGCACATTTCCATGAGATGCTGATGGTCTGACACTCTTCAGATCTGCACTCGTCTACCAGCCCCAGAACGCAAGTTCCAGAGCGTTCAATTTGAACTCGGCAGTTTCTTATCAGAAGCCATGACCGAGTCCAGCGCGTCATCTCCATTCAATGAGTGTCTCATACTGGCCACCATCTGCGGTCGCAGCCTGCTCCACGATCAGCAAGACAAAGTATCCAAAGCTTACGGTGATCTGGGTTCAGAATGGGAGCAGCAGCGCCAATGGCTGGATGATCTCCTCACAGCCCGACTTGAAGCATTATCTGACCGATATCCATCACCCACCGAGGCACATGATCCCCTTTTGTTGTTTGCCCACATCCTCGGCCAGACCACTGTTGTGTACCGCTGCAAAGGCATGATCCAGTCCCCAGCCAACTCCTCGACCTTGGAAAATTCCAATTCCGACTATCTCAAAATCCAGAGTCGCGCTATAGCTGCCATGAAAAACATCGTGAACCTTGCAAAGGCCATGAGCGAATTACATTTCTCCAAGGTAAGCCACTCCCAAACGTCACACATGAACCTTTGCCAACATCTACATCCAGATTCACCCTCTAATGCCCATCCCATTATTCATCTGCGCCGAATTTCTCTACGAAAATTCTTCCAAGCACAAAGATTTTCATCAATCTTTGCAAGAGTTGGTCTCTATCTTCTATGGACTCACAAATGTGAACAACCATGAGCAGAGCTACGTGGACTTATTGCCTCGGTCATGCATCTCGAAAACAAAAAAGCTGCTCAAGCATGGTGTTCAGGCTAGTGCAGTTGAGGCATAAAACTTGGAGGACCGGCAAAATTAGTGAAATCTTTCCTATACTCCACCATGAATGCTGCAAGACTGCAACCTCTGTCGTGACACGCTCGAGATGTGACGATCGGGCGATTGACTTTGGACCTGGCCCGGATCGAAGAAAAACGGTTCGCCATGAGATCGACCACCAGTCACAAGCAAGGTCGTATCCAACCGGTCAAGGAAGTCCTCAGGACGATCTAGCCAAGTCAAGACGCCAGCCACGCACAAGAAAGCAGACTAGCAACCCCAAGTAGCCAATAATCCTCGCGTGAAACTAAGCATTTAACGAATCCCTGCTCCGCCTATTCCATATCTCGCATGTGCTATCGATGCCCCCGGAGGCGCAGTGCAGTAGCACGAACTGAAAAGTTCCCCCCTCTCCTCATCTCGGCTATTTATCCACCTTGATTCCACTCATCCCGCACATCAGACGGGCCGGCCCGCTGAAGTTTCTCTTCTTGCGCGGTTGTTGAAGAATACTTCGCCCACTTCTTCTCATCTTGGGTCTTCATCCTGCTTCTATCTCTGGCGATCGTCACTGCATCCACTCACCTGCATCCTCGCAATTTCGAGCCCCCATTGTAGCTCGCCACAATGGCCGTGGTAGCAGTCCTTTTGGACAACTTGGTGCCACTTCTCTTGTGCTGCTTGGGTCTCTTCATTGTCCGAAAGTTGGTCGTCTACAATAAACTCAAGCAATTTGGTGGTCCCAGATGGACTGGCTTCACCGATTGGCCTCATAGCAAGGCCATGCTTCAAAACCGTTGTCATGAATGGTATGAAGAGGCGAATCACAAATATGGTGAGATATTTCATCTTTGGCTTGCTGACCCTGGGTTTTTGACGTGATGAAGCTCACTCGCACTTCTAGGCCCCATCGCAAGAGTTGCACCCACTGTCCTCGTCACCTCATCTCCCGAGGTCTGGATGCATGTCAACAATAAGCCCGGCTACAAGCGGTCTGACTGGTATTATAATGCCTGTCGCATCGAGTATCGGAAAGACAACGTCTTCAGTCAGACTGACAACGACAAGCATGACCAAAGAAGAAAGCAGATGGCTCCTGGGGTATGTTACCTTTCATAGCTACTCACCAAGCACCTACTAACATCGCTAGTACTCTGGGCGAGAGAATTTGGAGCTCGAAAAGTCAATTGACCTCCGCGTGCAAGAGCTAATCGACCTCATCCGCTCCAAGTACCTCTCAACTCAAGACCTCATCGTCCCCGTAGACCTTGCCCAAAAGATCCAGTACCTAACCCTTGACGCCATCAGCAGCATCAGCTTCGGCAAGGAATTCGGCATGCTTCGCAGCGACTCTGACGTCGATGGATATCTCCAGTCCAGCGAAGAAGGTCTCGCAGCTGGTAACTTTGCTCTTGCACTTGGCATCAGCTGGATGGCTCATGCTCCCGTTATCGGCGCCCATATTGCACCCTCTCCGAAGGACGACACCGGATTTGGAAAGATGATGAACGCTTGCTTCCGTTGTGTTGACGAGCGTGCCGCAAACCCCACTGATAAACGATCCGATATGCTGGCATCCTTCATCCGCCACGGCCTATCAGGCGCCGAGTTGCGTTCAGAAGCCCTTGAACAGCTCATTGCTGGTGCAGACACCACATCCACAGGCATCCGTGGAGCTCTCCTCTACATCATAACGAACCCAAGAGTTTACTCCAAGCTGCAGAAGGAAGTCGACAATGCAGTCCAATCTGGTCAAGTTAGCGAGGGTATCATTCCACTCTCCGAGTCGAAGCAGCTCCCATATCTCCAAGCAGTCATTCGTGAAGCGTTACGAATGTGGCCCCCAGCAGTCAACATCTTCTCCCGTGACACGCCTCCGGGGGGTGATACCGTGACCGTCAACGGCGAAAGCATCTTTCTACCAGGCGGTGTCTCGATTGGATATTCAGGCCACGGCATCCACCACAGCAAGGAAGTCTACGGCGAGGACGCAAAAGTATTTAGACCCGAACGATGGTTGAACGCGGACCCCGAGAAGCTCGCTGCCATGGTCCGCACAAGTGAGCTCGTCTTTGGACACGGCAAGTTCCAGTGCCTAGGCAAGCCGGTAGCCCAGCTCGAGCTTGGGAAGACCATATTTGAGGTAAGAAAGAGAGAAATTTCCGTGTTGCCAACATCTAACGTTAAGCATAGTTGATGCGCCACTTTGATTTGGCTCTGGTGAACCCGACGAAGCCGTGGGATGCTCGAAACTCGCTCGGTCTGTTTACCATATCCGACATGTGGGTGCAGGCAATGGATCGAACCAACGAATCCAAAGCCTAGTGAGAGAGGGAGGGACTCGAGCTATTCCGACCAGGATCAAGACTGTATAATGATTGAGATGGAACCCTATTGATGATGTCGATGCCCCGAATATGTATACTGTCAAGCGCTCGAAGTGTTCTTTCAGGTTGATCATGTCAGTCCCAGTTTGCCATAACGTTTATTCCCTTGTGTCGTTCCAGCTGAAAGGAGGGCATCAACATTCCCGTAATATCATCCCCAATCTAAACATGTACTTAGTTCCGGTGAAACCATTCTGTCTGGAGTAATTCATATCCAAAGCATGAACCAACCAAGGTAAATATCGTGATCAAACAACGCTTGGCGACTAATTGCAGTCTAGACCTAGCCCATGCAATGGGCAAACCTCCGAGGTCGCTGTGGGGGCAAACGCGCAAGGACTACTTGGCTGTCTCGGGCTTCTGTCCGTAAACATTGGTTCTGTGGAGTGGGTAAGCTAAAGAACGAGCAACAAGATTAAAGGACCACTTACATGAGATAATATGGCCGGATCTTGGTGTTGCGTATGGCCCGGCGCATCTCCATGACAAAGATCTGCACCTCGTCGTATTCCCATCCCATTATCTCCCGCAGAATGAACAAGGCGAAGCCCTCCAAGCTCTCATCCATAAACGCCAGGTTGTACGCGCCAATCTGCTTCATCTTTGGGTCGCTGCTCCAAGCACCGCACGGTACTTGGTACGTCTTCTCCACAACCTTTTCGAAGCCGGCTTCGGTGATGAGCTTGCGCTGGGTGCCGTCCATTGCGATGCGGAGCGTCCTGTTCATCTTGTCCGTCGCTTCCCAGAATACCTTGGCCCAACGCTTAAAGATGTGGTCAGGGTCGTCCCTGATCTCGGGCAGGTCGCTGTGCATGTGGATGTTGATCTCCATATTCTCGATCCATCCACCGGGTGACAATGCCGTATATGCCTGGCGGTATAGTTCGCCCCAGTCGCTGATGCTGCCGTAGAGGGCACGAATGTGGATAAAGTCGAAGCTTTCAGGGCGGAACGTCCATTCGAGCTGGGCGTCTTCGATGTGGAAAACGCAGTTCGGGGGCACCCAGCTGGGCTGGATGGCGCTGATGTCGGTGCCAATAATCTCGGTCTCTGGGTACGCGTCTGCCATGTCAATAGCCCAGATGCCAGTACCCGTGCCCACGTCGAGGACCTTGGACATGCGAGTGACGGGCGCGTCAAACAGGCGGTCGTTCTTCAGCATGACCATGAATTGGTGCGCTATGTCGAGGCCATTGTTTTGTCTATCATCGTTGGGACCCCAATATTCGGTCGTTTTCGAGTTCTGAAAGGTTCGCCCGTGAAGGTTGCGGTAGTCAAAGATGCTTTCCGAAAGAGACGCGGTTGACGACACAATGCTAGCAAAACGTTAGCCAACGGCGGGCGCCACGAGCAAGCCCAACTCGCCTTCCATCGTCCTCATATGCGGAATCCTCTCCAGCATCATCCTGGTCCTGTTGGATCGATCTTAATTAACACCCCGGTCTGTCAAAGTTGGGGTCGAAACGTACAAAGGGGATCTGCGTGTTTGTCGGGTGGGACGTGGTATCGCCAGGGGACGACGATTGGACCACCTCGGCTGGCGACGTCGGGGACTTCGGCGACGACTTCGGTGACGACTTCGGGACGTCTTGATCAGACTTGGGGCTAGACATGATGGTTGTAAAGACTCGGCAACAGACAGCTCGGGTGTGACGATGTGGGGATTCCGCTCTCCCTAGTGCCCTGGGAAGCGTTCTTGAAGACGGCAGGGAGAGGCATCGCAGGAGCCAGCTAAATTAATTACCCCGCTCTTCGCCGGAATGAAGACGCGATATTTCCAGGGATCTGAGACCCATTTGTCAGTCTATCTTTCGTCTGTGATCACCAGTTGGTCAGGGGGCCAGCAGTTGCTCTTGTGGGATGAACAGAGCTTGATGGAGCTTCTCTCTTTTTAACTCAGATGTATAACCTCAAAGCATTGATGCTCAAGGTGTTGGTTGCAGCCAGAACGGTCACGTCACGTGGACTCCGCTTAGCTGACCGGTGCTGGGGTCCGTCCCAAGGACCTGGTAACCGATCGGCCCCTTATGCACCCGCCCTGGATTGATTGGAATGCGTTGAACTGGTGCTGCGTAGTGTGTTCTCCTGCTTGTGTGATTAGGATCTAATGTCTTTTCCCTGCGGCATACTCAACTCAGTCATCCGCAACTCTTCACACTCGAGACTCGACCTCTGGGAAGCCGCCATGGCTGACTAAGGGTTTGTTACTGCAGATATGGAAGTCGCGTCCTCCACACTAACACATCCATTCCTACCTCAACAACCAGGCACGTGACGTGTTCGGATCCCAAGCTTTCTCCCTTGCAAGACATTGTCTCCATTCAGAATATCCTTTTCATCTCAAGGAATCAATCGCAGTTATTTGCAGCCAAAGTCAAGCCGCCGTGCTCTGGTCTTGCACCAATCGGACCTGCCAAATATCAACATGACAATTTCACACCCGGAGACACTTCAAGACCCCACACTCTCACTACCTCCTACGACTATGCCAACCTGAGACCACTGTTGAAAAAGCCGCGGATTGGTTGAAGAAACTGGGCGAACTTTACGCTTCTCATCCTTCGGAGCGCGAGCGACTGGTAGAACAGGAAGCTGATTCTTTATTGAATTTGGCCGCGACCACTGGATTTGTACAGGATCTTACCTCATCGACCTCCCTCCCCACGGCTTCCCGCAAGAAAGGCCTAGTCGCAATGAGGAGTCAGGAACTCGAAGCCGAATTGGCACCAATCAAGATGGAAATTGACTTGAGCGAGTATGCTGTCCCCATCGACAACCTTCTCGAGCCTTGGATGGCTGATAAAGCCTTGGACATGATGGAAGCGCACGTTGTCCAGAGGGCTGGCGCAACGCTGGGATATCTCTACCATATCCTAGTCGAAGAGTGTATCGCTGAACTTGAGGATCAATGCGAGCAAGCCAAAGCACGAGCAAAGAATGACAGCAAGGGCGAGCAGATCCCGGTGCTAGCCACGCAAGAGCCCCAGGAGGAGCGGGTGGAAAGCCAAAGAAGAAAGGAAAAGACACGACCAGCCCAACCTTCCGCTTTGAATGTGGCTATCAACCCGCCCGCGGAACAAGCGCAGGAGCCTGCGCAGATACCGGAGACACTGAGTGTGAGCGACTCAACGATGAATATCTTGATGAAGATATTCAAAAAGTCAGAAGCTCGAGGCGCAGTGAGTTGGGTGTCTTTTGAGGCGGCTATGGCCGATCTAGATTTCTCCGCCCACTCTAAATATAGCTCTGTGTATTCGTTCTGGCCTCCTGAATTCATCGCGATATGCAGGTCCGTCACAATTCATCGTCCGCACAATGGACAGGTCGAGGGCGTCAGACTTTCGATCCTATCACTCAGGCTCAAACGGACCTATGAATGGAGTGAGCAGACGTTCAAATTTGCTTGAAGATGTGACTATACCGTCTGGTTTGAGCGACCGCGGAATAAGTCTCATGGTCCGGTTGGGTTCCCAAGACGTGGGCATCATTCATACTTGTCGGGAGTCCCTCGGACCTGTTTGAGCACCCAAGTCTAGTCACACAAAGCATCACGGAACAGCAAAGACCATCGTCTCGGCGCTCGGCGTCGACATAGTCTGCCGCGAAACACGGCAATCTCGACAACCGACCATGCTACTCGGCGAGTGGATGTTTGGCGCTCGTTCACGACGTAATACAACCATGCAGCGATCTTGTCCATCAAGGGACCCTTACGCACAAGCTACCTTGTTCGTTGCAAACTCGCATTATCGCATTGTCTACCGAGCTCGTTCAACCGACGGCCTTTGTTCAAGAAATTGCTGAACAGGATTTCGAAGGATTGCCGCGTTGCATTGAGGGCTGTGCGTTAGCGGCGGCTCAGAAATGTCCATTGATCCATTGTTGGCCAGCTGCGGTCATTTCAAGACATGGACTCTGCCAACAGACGATTGTACGCCACTGATTAATAGCCTCGATTGATAAGCCGGCATTAATCAACACAGAGTCTCGATTCATGCAATCACTCAGCTGAGGCAACAAACAGGCCGCGTTACGATTCGTCTCACCCGAACAAAAGGACCCATTTACCTCGGCACAGGGTCAGAAATGCTCCATTCTCGCGCTTGGCGTCCTCTTTAATTCGTCTCCTCGCATTCTCCCTAAAAAATCGTTGGGTGCCACGTTTTTTGGTGGGAAGCAGCTTAGCAGCCATCGTCGTCCCCAGGGCGGCCGAAGCCTCCGAAAGAAGAAGTCATCCCGGTCGGACAGCGACCGAATAGTCAAATACCCCGTCGGACTTTTTCGAGAAATCCCCAACGGTCTATCAAGAACGCTAGCGACTCAGCCTTACAGGAGGATTTGTTTTTATAAACAAGCGCAAGGCCCATTGTTGCCATCTTCCTCATTCATACTTTTTCTACACATCCGCAGCCATGTCTCCAAAGCTCCCCATGCTGCCTGGCTTCACCGCCGTGAGCGACCAGATCCTCGTCCGAGAAGCTCTTCCTGAGCAACCTCCTGCCGATCATCCCGAAGCTGTCGTCATCTACGGCTGGGGCGATGGACTTCCCAAGCACGTCTCCAAGTACGCCGAGGGCTATCGCGTGCTGTTTCCCTACTCGAAGCAGATCATCATTTTGAGCCCCATCTCAAAGGCCATGTTTACCAGTCTCGACCAGCGGACAGAGGCCATGGTTCCCGTTCTTGAGAACCTTGAGAAGCTCTTGGGAGACCGAAAGTCGTCGGTTTTGATTCACGCCATGTCCAACACGGGCGCCATCAGCTACGGCACCACCCTCAAGGCTTTCCAGGACAAGAACTCCTCCGCATTCCCTCACCAGCTCCTCGTTCTCGACTCGACCCCCGGCAGCCCTTGGCTCTCTCGCCGGACCCTTGGAAACTGGTCACGCGCCATGAGTCTGGGCACGGCAAACTGGTTCCCCTGGCCTTTCGCCGTCACCCAAGCCCTCTGGGCCGGAGTCCTGCTCTTCAACGCCACGTATCAGTGGATCACGGGCACTGAACCCGCTGGAGCCTTTGCGCTGAGAGTCGTCGACGATGAGTCATTTGAGACAAAGGAGGCCAAGAGACTGTACCTGTACAGCAAAGAGGACGACCTGATTTCGTACGAGGACATTGAAGCCTACGTCGCCGAGTCCAAGGAGCGAGGCTATGTGGTCCGAACTGAGCTCTTCGACGGCAGCGGTCACGTTGGACACATGCGCAAGCACCCAGAGCAGTACTGGAAGGCCATCGAGGATGCATGGAAGTGGTCCAACGATGAAAAGAACGGCGCATAAGGGAGTACAAAAGGACGCATGACAATGCAATGGGATTATGAGTTTGGATTTTTGTACATGTAATGAGCGTGGAATTCGATAGAGGTCACGGGCTGGAATCATGCCCTACAGACATGGATCAACACAGCGATGGCTTTGACAGCCTGCTTTCTCTACACGTATTTTCTTGGTCCCCGCGATCACAACAAGCGATTTCAGGCCTCCATTTGGTGAACTGTGCTTATTCATGACGCTGGATGCTATCGGGGACGAAATTATACAAGACTTGCTGGTCGTCGTTGTGCGAGTGAGTAACAACAACTTCCTCCTTTCCACTGTTCAGGAAAGGTGTGTGCTCCAGCCAGTAGGTTGCGACGTGACGACGGAATGGCATATGCTGTTCAACAGCATAGAGGCATGATCGATAACAATAGGAGTGGATGTTGAATATTCGAATCTCGGAAAGAAAAATGCAAGGTAAATGGAGGTTCTTTTACCTTTCAGTGATGTTTAAGCAGGAAATGGTTGATAAGACGAGGTTCAAGCTCTCGTCTAGTCACTCCCGACTGTTTACTTGATTCTCATACCAGAACAGGTAGTGTAAATAAATGACAGATGGCTCTTAGGATACTATGTCTTCTCCTATATCAGATGAACTACTAACAGTTTACCGAACCTCGCTATGTGGCACCATATCTTTCGCGTCAATACTGCGTCTCAAGGCTGACATGCAGATCAGACACTCCGCGTGAGTCATCCCGCCGAGTACAGCCTCATCGTAATATCAGTGTCCAATCTATCATTCTATAAGAACTACACTCTCCGTGCACCCCTTCCTTGGGAACGCCTTTAATACAGCCTCAAGTTCACTCCTTCAATTTTTGCATCATGAGTTTCAACGTCGTCACACCACAAACCCCCCTTCCCCCTTCAATCCTCCACCAACTCGCCCTCGGTAGCCCCCTAGACGAAATCTCCAACTACCCAGGAGGCATACGACATCACATATTTTACCACGGCGATCGTAAAAAAAAGACAAACAAGCTTGAACGATCGATGCTCTTCTTTGTCTACCAGACCGGCAGGTTTGGCCCACAAAACGGTTTCCGCCTCTGTCTTGTTCATCAGGGGTTTCATATCGCGTCTGCGACAAAGGGCGAGGAGGGCCTAGAGGATGATATCGATCGATTGGAACGGGATATTCCGCAGGGGCATATAGAGATTGTAGTTCTGGGAGAGGCGCCGGTTTATGTCAACGATGAGGATGGCGGTCACATCGTCTTTGAAGAGGATTGAAAGTCAAGAACGCAAGAGTCTAGCCCTGCGAGAAAGACAGATCTCTGGAGACCAAAGTCTATTATAATTGAGATCTAACATTGTATAATATTATGATGGTTTCTTATCATAAAGTGATGATATTATTCCAATGGTGTGAAGAAAGTTATGTGGAATGCTATCCTAGACCCCCCATTCACCCTGGTACGTAAAACAGCCTCCCATTCCGTGCTACAGAGCAACCAACAGAGATCAGGCTCTGCATCCGGCGCTTCGTGGTGAATGCGGATTGGTACATTTTTTTTCTGCAGTCAGAATCAGGCTGTGCTGGGCGGGGATTTGCTATCGGCGCCCTCTTCAGCTTGCTGCCTGTTTTCCCAAGAATCAGGCTCTCTTACTTCGACATCATCCGCAGGTAGAAGCTATACTGTGTAGCGACCTAGAGAGGCATCACGACGCAGTGCCCGAGCTTGAGATGCGGCTAAAGGACCTGGTCCGACGCGGGAAGGAACCTTTGCCGGCATCTTCCTCGAACACCGACGCCAACCCCGCAAGTACAGCCGGGTCATCCCAACCTGACCTGGAGCCCACGGAAACTTCCCCCTTCACGGATCCCACAGCCAGTCTCAGCATACGGATGATATCGGAAAATCGTCTCCTTGGGCGAGTCTTTGGGCCGAAACATACCAAACAGTCAAAGACGACCCGGAGCATTCTCACCTGCTGGAGACATTCGAAACATACCTGCAAGAGGGAAAATATGCTGATTTAGCTGGTACGTGTTGAAGAAACTGTCTCGCCTTCTGGTCCCTATAGTTAGTCAAGAGTAGCAACTAACACTTCCAAGATGCCCCCGCTGCCTCTCATCTCGAAGCAACACCGTCCTGGCATCAGCAGGGCTCGGTGGCAAGCGGTTTGTATGGAATGTCGATGAGAGGCGGATACTTCACGATTGCAGTTCATATGGTTATTATCCCGGGCCGGTTTCATTCTCCGAAGACGGTAGACTGGTTTACTTTGCAGCACATGAATGGGTCCCTTCCGCATTGATGAGGGTAGAAACTGGAGAGTGTATCAAGATCGGTGAGACGAAGGAAGACCAGGGAACTTTGGGAACTGCATTTTCTGTTAATGGCCGGACTATAGCAACCGCATCCAGTCATTCGGTCAAAATCAGGGATATTCTCAACATGGACTCAACGGGCTCAAGGATCATCCTTGGGGGGTATTGAGGACATGGCGCTCTCGCCAGATGGAAAGCTGTTGGTCAGTGTAACCGATGAAGGGTGTGTCAAGCTTCACGATGCGGATACATTGGAGGTAATCGGAGGCTTTTACGCCCCTGGGACGATTACCAGCGTTGCATTTTGCAGAGACAGTAAAAGGTTTGCGTCATATGGCACCGCTGGCCTTCAGCTTTGGGATACGAGCAGTATGACCAACGGACAACCCATGAAAGCACCAGCAAGCTTTGGGGATCTGATGTTCTTGCCCAACAGTGATGACCAGGTGCTGAGCTGTTTAGATGGCGAGTATAGACTTTGGGATGCGTCTGGTGGGCATGCCCTGGAAGGGCTCTTCGCTTGTGTTCTGAAAGCAGGAACCTCTCGAGAACCTCGATTTTCGCAGGACGGCACGCGCGGTGTGTTGTCGAGCCCCGGCAAGTTGCGGATATTCGATATGAAAACAGCCGAGGAGATTTTGGTGCCACATCCTGGATTGAGGGACCTTGTGTTTGGATTCTCCCCGAACGGCCAGTTCATCTGGTGCTGGTCCCGGGGGATGCAAGACTTCTCTCAGTTTCAGCTATGGGACCTCGGAGCGCGGGAACTAAGACTATTGCGGGAGCTCAAGAGCCTGGACCAGCTGTGGCACGTGGTAGTTTCACCGGATGGCCAACTGGTTGCACTGACATGTCAAGCCGGTAAAGATGGAGGGAAATTGCTTCGACTCATCGAGGTGGCTACAGGGAGGGACAGGGGCACCATACCTTGCCATCCTTATTGCAAACCTATCTTTCATCCTGATAGTCAGCTGATTGTGTCATTAAAAACGACGGTCTCATCACAGGGTGGAACACGGACTATTTGAGTGAGAAGTTTTCTTTGGAAGGCACGAGTTTTGTCGACGACATTTGGAGCCTGGTTATGACTCCGACAGGCAAACTTGCGGTACTGAAGCAAGGTTTCATCGGTGGACCCTTTCCCACATTGCATCTGTGGGAAATTGCCACTGGAGAGGAGATTGGGAGCTATGGCATTGAAGGTCGGCCTGGCGAGCTATGGCTTTCCGAAGATGACCGATATCTGACATGCCGCAAGGGGCGACTTCCTCTCCCATCTTCGCTCCCCAATGATGAGCAATCCGACGCTGGGAAGTTTCAGGAGGACTGGCAAGATCTCCTTTACGTGGGAGAGCAATGGGTCTACCAAGGACTCACGAGGCTTCTCTGGCTCCCATCCCAATATCAAAATCTCACTGTCACTGCCAGAGGCGAAACTGTTGCATTTGGTCAGGGCGACCTCGGGGTCCAGTTTATTAAATTTGACCTTGCAAAGACGCCGTTGGTGATAGGGCGAGGTGCACAGTAGCTTCACCTGTAGCGACTGTGTTGGATGAAGTTGCAAGTCTTTGATTCGTTTGTGCGATATATTGTTTCATGTTGACTTTTTGTGTTACCTTCTCGAGACTCTTTTACAAGAGGTGATCCGATGGACTTTTCGAGTTCCGTAAAGATTATGCCATGCTTTATCTAGAGATAATAGGGTTTAATGATGGGTTGTTGCAGAGCATTGCAAATGATGCCATGGAATTGGCAAGGGCACGGGGGACTTGGGGACTGCCAGAGCGTAATTATCCCCACTATCAATATACTATCTAAGATTCTATAAAAATAATATAGAAATAGACTAATCTCTTATACTAACTTTAATGAGTATAGGAAGAGGCTCATCATAATTGGGCTAGACACCTCCTCGGTACCCAATGGTAGTCCCAGCGCAAACAAGGACCGAAATAGGTAAAACATACATCGAGATGCCAAGACCAATAACACTCCTTGTCAAGACATAAAAGTTAAAATCAACGTCACTCCGCGGCATCCTGATGCAAATCATCTCCAACGGCTTGGCCCTCTCCCGCTTGGGCGGTTCTGGATAGTCATCGCGGATGAAAGACGATAGGCCATGTAACCTGGTGATAACTGGCCCCCATGGACTCCCCTCGCATAAACTGCATCTTCAAAGGATATTAATAAACGAGATAGATACGCCACCTTACCGCTTTCCTTCTCACAGTAAATTCCTTCATAATCTTAACCAAGTGCGCACCCCGCGCAAGCAAGAAGGTTGATGGGAATATCGAGACAAGCATTGCCTGTGGAGAGTGGGCTGCTCGAGGTAAATTTCGACTCTAATCTTTGTGACTGCATTGCAATATGATTCATGAGATGATTTCCAAGGAAAAACTTCTGGACCGGAGCGTTGAAGGTGGATGGGAGCCTCTGTGCGAGTTTTTGGGCAAGTTAGTTCCGGAAGAGCCGTTTCTACGTGAGAATGCTGCTGTGGGCAGGGCAGGATAGGAGATGAAGTTGGGTAAGAGATATATATCATAGATGCGGTGAGGAACTTGGTGATATTGGAAGTTACGGGAACTGGAATTTGGGCTGCTGTATACTATAGATTTTATGCTTCATGTTGTGTGATTCGGAGTCATGATGGTTGACCAAGTGGCCCCTCAGAGTACCCCTGAATGGACCATCAGCTGGACGGGGCTCATCATGCCGTGTAAAAAGCTTGCGTTGGACACATGCGCACGGAAGATGCACAGTCTTTGAGCTACGGCTCGGGCCGTTCAACATTCCCCTTTAGCAGATCTGGTAGTCTATATCATTGTCAAAGCGAGACGTATCCCTTCAGCTGGCAAGGAGTCCAACCAGGCCGCAACGGGGACACTTCGGCTACCACTGAGTGTTGCACGAGACCAAGTTCCCGGGCAGGCCGAATCATAGCTCCCTAACAGATGGGGCTATGTTTACCGTGGGTTTCAGTTATCCTAGTAACACTGAAGCGAGGGACTTACAAAAGCAAACAAGGGATGAACTGATTTCTAACCAAATGTGACAAACTCTAAACAGCGCTAGAGCTCGCATGAATCCTCCTATTCAGGCATTAGTGGGGACGCGTTGGGGGTGCTGAGCCAACCGGACAGGGCTAGACTCGGATAATCACTGAGAGAACGAGACAACAACAAGGATGGGTTCTGTACCAAGAAAATATAGAAGGGCAACATGATCCCATCCTGAACTTTTCAGACCCCCATTAGCCCGACAAAATCTTGACTCGACGACCACCGGAACCGCGGATATAGCACCTGCAGCGAATCGATTAGCGAGCGTCTACTACCGACATCTGTTATTTTTATTCTTATTTCTTCTTTTCTCCCTTTTTTTTCTCTCTCATTTCCACTCTCCTGGAAAAGACGCCAAAAGGTCCAAACTAACATAGGGCCAAACCAACACACGGTTGGGCTTCGGCGCGGCCCGCGTTGCAACAAATGTCTTCGGCAGCAACGGACAAGGGCCACGACAGTGGCGGCGGCGGTGGTTCATCAAGGCCCCCTGCCATGTCGACGACACTCACCGCTTCGTCGTCGTCAAACTACTCCTCTAGCGTGTCTGGTGACAGCCAACACCAGAGCGGAGCTAGCGGGGGTATCCCTGGCACACCCTCGAGCCGACGCTCAGGGGGATGGGACCGGCAAACGCTTTCCCCGGCCGCGGCCGCAAGGGCTAGAGCTGAGGATGTGGGTATTCCCAGAGTTTGATGGATGTTTGCTTTGACTGACTGTTGAGAAATAGCCTACGGTTGAGGAGCAAGTTGTTTTTCAACCAATCAGTGTACTTGATGAGTCTTCTGATTCTTCAGATGAATATGTGTCGAGTTATCGGCCTCTGGAACGGTAAGAGTTCTACCATACTGGTATGTTCATCTGCTTGCTCATACTAACTTGGCAAAGGAGTTCCACCCGGGTTACGGCCTCACGATCCAAACGTTTCTTTCAAAATTTGGTAAAGAAATTCAACAAACCCTCAGTTCGTACGTTTCCCCCTCGCCTGCATTAGGATCCGAGAATTAATCAAACAATTCACAGGTTATGGCCTGGTGCCAAACAGTCAGGTATGCTCCCGTCTCATGTATCATGCACTTGGATAGTGCTAATGCGCATTCGTTTTAGCAAGAAACAGACAGAAATAGTACGGATTGAGGCCGCCACTCCTTCGCTTCTCTTTAGCTTGCTGACAGATTACGCTAGCCATTCAGCACACCATTATGATCGATATCTTTAGAGGGCAGCTTCACTTATCGCCTATCACGTCAAAACCAAAGCGGGTTCTTGATGTCGGCACTGGCCCTGGAACATGGGCATTGGTAAGTTCTTATCGTTGTACAAGGGTGATTTGCATCTGTTACTGACACATGCTCTATAGGAATTTGGCAAGTATTTTTCACATCCATGTCCATTGCCCTTGAAGCTAACAATCGTGGCGTCGGTTGACAGCCCAAAAACATCCATCCTGTTCCGTTCTAGGCGTTGACATTGAGCCGGTCCATCCACTTTACACCAGATCCAACTGTACCTTTTTGACAAAGGATGTTACCCACGATTGGGACTTTACCGGCGGCGGCAACTTTGATTTTATCCACGTTCGACAACTCGGCGATATTCAGGAGAAAAGAAACCTAATCCAAAGGTGTTTCGAGAATCTGAAGCCCGGAGGATGGGTTGAATTCACGGAATGGATCGCGATTCTACAGTCGCCGAATCATTCATTGCGCGGCACCGCATTCCGCAAATGGAATGATCTGCTGGAGCAAGGAATGCGCCAGTGTGGTACAACGCTGTACTACCCGGACAAGCTGAAGCCATTACTACAGGAGACAGGCTTTGAGCACATCATTGAGACGAGAAACGGCGCGACGACAAATGCGTGCTATCCGGGCAAGAAGTTGCAACGTATAGGCCATTTGATGACGCAGAACTGGCTGCTTATTCTTGAGCCTTTGTCTATGCCTGTTTTTACGCAAGCTTTGGGGTGGACTCCGGAGGAAGTCAAGACTTTTCTGCTTGATGTGCGGAAGGAAATTGGCAACACACAATACCATTCCTTCATGACGCTGTGAGTACCATCTGCCCCTATATCAAATTCTCTTATGCTTACAATTTCCCAGAATAACCATTTGCGGCCAAAAGCCGTTGAATAGTTCAGCCACGTCGGCAATGTCAACCTCGGCATCCGAATCTTCTCTTCCCACGGCAAAGTAGGTCCTTGGCCCGGGACTTGACACACACGTTAGGCACGGCCCGGAAAGCTGCATCCTCGAAAAGGTCACCTGCGAAGCTAAACCCAAACACCAACAGCCGGCAGCACATGGTTCGACAGAATGAGGGGAGCTCTGTCACGCCAAGGGTGGTTCGAGTTGGCTTGCATGCATGCAGTGGCATCCACGGGACGTCAAGGTTACAATCTTGTTTTGCCAGGGAGGTCTTAATAATTGGGATGATATCAAGAAAAATATGGAGTCCCCTGCATGAACGAGACCCTTTCAAAGGAGGGGAAGGTGACATGTTTGACACCACCAACTTGTCAATGGCCTGTCAGCTAGACCCAACATGTTAATAAACCCCGGAAGATCTGACCTGCCGCTGATCGGGCATTTTGGTGCAGATCATATCATCCACCCATTTTGCAGTATCTTGTATCTATGAGATGTCCTTCTAAAATAGCACTGCGACTTGACACCACACACTGGATCGTTAGATACGGTTCGAGACGTAGAACATCCTAGTTTATGACGCGAATATCGTAGCCGCTGCTTCAAACTGGGCCGAGCCTGAGGCCGAGTTCTGGGGTCCCCATGTCATATCTCAGCTCGGTGATTGGCAATGACAAGAACAGACCCAACAGCAATCCTACCATCTTGGACGGAGCCGAGATGTGGATACCGTTGACGTGGCAGTGCTGAAGTTTATGGCCCTCCATGTCCTAACGTTGCAAGGCAGATCAGCGCCGGGGTGGGAGTACAGTACTACGTAGTAGTATAGCGCTATCATCTTGATGGTATGATATCCGACGTCTTGTGGAAAACGGAGGGGGCGCTGTCGATATATGTACATGACAAGATTCCTACGAACCGGTTTGTGAGCGTGAATAAGCACTGGTCAAACTAGAGCATGATCTGATTGGTTAGATCTGTTCCACTAGAGGGGGCTATGCGCTTTTTCATCACCGCGTTAGGCGATGGCGTCTAGTTGAAATAAGACTCCTCCAACAGCTGCTCTTCATGCTTCGACGTGACCTTGGACATAAAGTAACCAAGTATAGGGATGGTGCTTCATATGTATGTGATATATGATGTATTGGGTTCGGCCAACTTGCACAAGTATCTATCAAATCACCAACCTAATGGATGGTATAAAACCATGACGGGTAAGCAGTTGGTTCCAGGAAAGCCGGCTAGACTATGCACGGGAGCCATGCCCGCTTACCCGATGGCTCTTACTGCCAACAATTGACCACAATTGGAAGCGCATCCATGACAATGGGCCAACTACTGTACTGCAACCGTCATCCTTCGATACTGCAGAGGTCCACACCGCATGATCCGGACTCGAATTTGAGCCGGTTCATGCATTAGTGGGGTAGACTAGGAGCGGGCAATTGAACGAACATGAACCGGGTCAATATCCTGATGGGGTAGGTAGCTCATGAGCTGATTACCGGGCGTTTCTTCAGGATCTCTCGGATCGTATTTGTATGTGGTGCTTATGCGTGCCATGTTGTTTTGTTGTGTAACCCGCGATCCTTCCTCTCTCGTTGTAACTTTCCCTCTGGGATGAATCTTCAGAGAATATCTTTATCACTCCACTTTTGTTCTACGCAATGACTTCACAGGTTACACAATGGCGGGAGCCAATTGCCATTGTGAGCATGGCTTGTCGTCTCCCAGGAGGCATCGACAAACCGCTAGACCTGTGGGATCATGTTCGAGCAGGACGTTCGTCGGCCACGGCGATACCAAAGGATCGGTTCAATGCCGAGAACTTTCTGTCTATGGACCCTAATCAGAAGGGGGAGCAGGCGTTTCGAGGTGCTCACTTTGTCAAGAGGGACATCAAGCAGTTTGATCACAAGTTCTTTGGTATAAGCAAAGATACGGCGACAGCCATGGATCCTCAGCAGAAACAGTTGCTCGAGGTTGTCTACGAGTGTCTCGAGTCTGCTAACATTTCCATGGAGACAATCTCCAAGTCAAAGATTGGCTGCTATTGTGCCATGTTTGTGGCCGATTATCACGACATGCTGATGCAAGACCCTGAATACCTTCCAACATTTATCGCCATTGGAACAACACGAACCATGCTTGCAAACCGCATCAGTCATGCACTTGACCTTGGTGGTCCCAGGTATGTTGTTGTTGATCTTTTTCCACAAAGTTGATTACAGTGCTGACATATGTCAATCATGCAGTGTCACCATCGACACGGCCTGTTCCGGCGCTTTGGTCGCCCTGCATCTTGCCTGCCAAGCACTGCAAGCTGGGGAGTGTGACGGCGCTGTGATTGGTGCATCCAACCTTTTTCTGAGCCCAGATTATGCACTGTCTTTGACCCGTCTTGGCGCTATCGCTGCAGATGGTCAATGTAAGACATTTGACGCAAAGGCCAATGGTTATGGACGTGGTGAAGGAACAAATGCAGTCTATGTAAAGAGACTGAGCGATGCGATTAGAGATGGGGATAATATTCGAGCCGTCATTAGGGGCACTTCATCCAACAGGTATGTCTGCAAACAAGGTTGACAGATGGATTTACTGACAAGTTTAGTTCTGGTGCTACTCCAGCAATTACGGAACCCTCCGGGCGAGCTCAGGCAGATACCATCCTGCAGGCTTATGCCCAAGCAGGAATTAATGACTTTAGCGAGACGGGATACTTTGAGTGCCACGGAACAGGTACACCCGTGGGTGATTGCATAGAGTTGGGAGCAGTGGGTTCAGTCTTTTCTGCCAGTCACAAAACCCAAGATGCGCTTTGGGTTGGTTCTGTAAGTTTCACTCCCAACACTTTCTCTTGTTTATCCCTATGAGAAGCCCTAGACTAACAAGCAAACAGACAAAACCAAACGTGGGACACTCAGAGGCTGCCAGTGGTCTGAGCAGTCTCATCAAGGTCGTTTTGGCCTTGGAAAAGGGAGAGATTCCTCCCAACACCAACTACAACACACCCAACCCCAAAAGTACAGTACTTCCCAGTTCTTGCACCTATTTGGACTCAACTGACCATGATTTATCTAGTCGACTTTGATGGATGGAGAGTTCGTGTTGCGACAGCCCCCCAGCCTTGGCCTACCAAGTCGATACGCCGAGCAAGTGTCAACTCGCTTGGTATCGGTGGATCTACTGCGCATGCTGTTGTTGAGTTTTACGAGCCTCCCAAGTTGACCAATGGATCCGCCAATGGTCATCATGAGGAGCCCAAACCCACCAACAGGGCTGTCAATGGCCATCACGAAGAGCTCAAGTTGACCAACGGGTCCGTCAACGGGGTCAACGGGTCCGTCAACGGCCATCATGAGGAAGGGGAAAAGCCATCCTTCCTTGTCTTCACATCTGGTGCCTCTAAAAGCTCTCGAGACACAAACACAACCAACCTCTTGGAGTTTCTCCAAACTCACCAAGAATCCCACAGCTTCACAGAGCCCCTCATCACAGCTCTGAATGCTCGAAGCCAGATCCATGCCCGGCCATGGAAGTCGTACGCCGTTGCCCAGACAGTTGACGGTCTCATCCAGCAGTTGGAGAACAACGCCCTGAAATCGAATTCGGCACCGTCCGGTACTGGTGCACCCAAGGTTTTGTTTGCGTTCACAGGCCAAGGAGCTATGTGGTCTCAGATGGGTAAACGTCTCCTCGAGGCTTTCCCTGTGGCGCGCAATACCTTGAATGATCTTGACAAGGTCATTGGAGAGCTTCAGTCATCAAGCAAATCGGCCTGGTCCCTGATAGGTACGTCCCACGACAATTCCAAGTTGCTGCTTGGTGGGTACTAACTTCTTCATAGACAAGCTGACTGCCAAGCTCTCACAAGAAGAGATTGACTCGCCGGCGCTCGCCCATCCCCTTTCTATGGCGGTCCAAATCGCACTGTCAGATCTTCTTTCCAGCTGGGGCGTCCTCCCAGATGCCGTCGTTGGCCATTCTGGTGGAGAGACAGCCGCTGCGTACGCTTGTGGCGCTCTCACCGCCAAGGAAGCCATCACGGTCGCCTACTATCGAGGAATCGCCTGCGAGAACGCTCCTTCAGGTGCCATGCTGGCCTGCAGAAGTGCACCAAAGGCGAAAGAGTTGCAAGATGCATTGGAGCGACACGATGTGCAGATTGCGTGCTTCAACGGTCCTCAGAATCTTACTCTCGCTGGCTCTGCTGAGGGAGTCAAGAATGTGGCCGCCGAGCTTACCAGTCATGGCATTATGGCTAGGGCCGTCGCTGTGACTCGAGCCTACCACACTCGTGCCATGAAGACTGTGGTGGATGAGTACATCGGTAACCTCAAGGGTGTTTTGAGTCCCAAGGCTTCACGGGTTCCCATGTTCTCTTCTGTTACAGGTTCTGAGCTGAAGGGAACCGAGGTTGATGCCGACTACTGGGGAGCCAACCTCGTGTCCCCAGTTCTTTACACCGATGCAGTGACTCTAGCCATGACTCAAGCAGACCCCAAGTTGGATCTGTGTATTGAGCTTGGCCCTCACTCATTGCTTTCTCGCCCTACATCAGAGATTATGAAATCTCTCCCTGATTCACCCCAGCTCCCCTATTTTGCTACCATGCTTCGAAACGCAGACTCGAGCCAACAGCTGCTGAGCCTTGCAGGAGACTTGGTCCTCAATGGAAAGCAGTTGGATCTGGAGCAAGTCAACAGCGCCAGGGGCAAGTCTGGACGTCTCCCCAACGAGATTCAAGACAACCTTCCCCCTTACGCTTGGGACTATTCCTCGACACCGTGGACCGAGCCGCGGAACAGCCTGGAATGGCGTTTCCGTAAATCACCACGACATGAGATTCTGGGATCCCGTTGTCGAGGAGTGAATCCGTCAGCTCCTACATGGAGGAACAAGGTGTCGATCGAAGATGCGCCTTGGCTCGTTGATCACCAGGTACGAGAGAGAAAATTCATTTCAAGACAAAGCTAACTCTGGACAGGTCAATGGCATTGTGACATTTTCCTTCACCACCGGCATTGCAATGGTGGTGGAGGCCATGATGCAAGTGCAAGAAGAGACCAAGGAGATTGATTGGACAACTCGTTCATTCGAATTTGAAGACTTTGTCTTTTCGAATTCCATCATTCTTCCTGACGAATCACCCATCGACCTCTTCCTCACACT